ATATTTGCTTTTAAACTAAATATTATATATTTAGTATATATTTTTTAATACCTACGATCCAAGTAAAGTCCCGGTTACACTTCGTGCTAATTAATTATAGCAAAGAATAAATTAAATAACTTATGTTACAAATCATGGTAGAAGATTTGTTTTTTCGTACTAATTGCATAATAACAATATTATTTAGTCTACCTCTTACCGATCGTAACAATATTGTATATTTTAGTACTTTTTGGTCCTATAGAGTACGAATTTCTCACAAATTAAATAATTTTAAAGCACTTGATGTGATATATCTACCTATATTTATAAATGAGGAAAATGTTTGTACGTTTGATTGTTTGTCATTTGCAGGCTCGAAAACCGCTGAGATTTTCCTGAAAATATCCAAGTGTACTATGAAAACATGAAAGTAACATAGGCTATATAAATTTTACAGAATCGGAAGTAAATTTGAAACAAAAACAAATTTGCCAAATTATATTAAAATCCGTTCAGATTTGGATGTAGATCCCATATATATTTCATGTATTTGATGCTTCAAACACGCTGTGTATGCCGAATTTCAATGAAATTTTTAATGTGCGATGGAATTTGTCTAAAAAATTTATTTGCAAAAATAATTTTATAATCAGTTCAGATTTATATAGCTCCCATATAAATTTTCTGGCGATTTCAATTATTTGATGCACCAAGCACGCTATGTATCTCTATATGTAAGGGAATTCGAAAGAAACATAAATTCGCCAAATAATATTGAAATCAGTTCAGATTCGGATAAAGCTCCCATACATATTTTCGGCCGATTTCATGTATTTGTTTCATCAAACACCCTATAAAATTTGGTCTTAAAATTTATTTGCCAAATTATATTGAAATCGGTTCAGATTTGGATGTAACTCCTATATATATTTTCGGCCGATTTCATGTATTGGATGAACCAATTTCAATGAACTTTGGAATGTTTAACGGAATTTGGAACAAACATAAATTTGTCAAATTATATTGAAATCGATTCAGATTTGGACATAGCTCCCATATATATTTTCGGCCGATTTCATGTTATAATGCACAAAACACGTCATATTTGCCAGTTATAGTGTAAACAATTGTGCTAAATGGCAAATTATATTGCTCGTTTACCTCGCATATTATGTCTGATACTCTTATGTGTTTCTTTGAATCTTCGGCAGGCCAGCGCAACAGATTTTCTTTTTAGAGAGAAAGCATCCAAAAATTACTTCTTTCCTCCAGACCAAAAATCAGTTGTAGTGCAAACATACTTGACAATTTGTGGACATATTTTTGGTTACTGTCGGACAGTAGTCGGGTGATAGATAGCCTGCTAGGCATTTTTCCGGGAAATAATTTTAAAAAGCTCTTACTTTCTATCAAGGAGAGCGGAGAACAGGTATCACACAAGAAGCTTAGCACATCTTCTGAAAATACTGATTTCCGACCAGCTTTCTGTCTGTTTTCATTTTTTTTATACCCTCCGTTTGTAACTCCTCGAAATACTCATGCCAGACCCAACAAAGTATATATATTCTTGATCAGCGTGAAATTCTAAGTCGATTTAACGATATCCGTCTTTCGAACGAATTGAGATACAAGGCTAAAATTTTGCACACAGGTTTATTTTTACAGTAGGTAGGTTAAATTCGTAAATGGGGCATGTAGGTTCACGTTTTCATATAGTCCCCATATAACGGTTCCTCCCGATATTCGGTATTTTGATGATTCTAGCGACATTATTCACCAGAATTGTTTCAAATTTGGTATTTGAAGTTCGAAAGGGATACTACGGCCTAAGACAGAATATTGTCTGTGCAGGTCCACGTCTTCTTATAGCCCCCATATAACGGTACCTCGCGATATTCGGTATTTTGATGATTTTAGTGACATTATTTACCGGAATTGTTTCAAATTTCGCATTTGAAGTTCGTAATGGATACTACAGCCTAAGACAGAAAATAGTCTGTGCAGGTCCACGTCTTCGTATAGCCCCCATATAACTATCCCTCCCGATATTTGGTATTTGGATGACTTTAGAGACATTATTAATTGGAATTGTTCAAAATTTGGTATTTGAAGTTCGCAATGGATACTACAGCCTAAGACATAAAATTTTTTGTGCAGGTCCACGTCTTCGTATATCCCCCATATAACGGTACCTCCCTATATTCAGTATTTTGGTAATTTTAGCGTCTTTATTCACCAAAATTTTTTCAAATTACGCATTTAGAGTTCGTAATGGAAACTCCAGTCTATGACAGAAAATTATCTATGCAGGTCCAGGTCCTCGTATAGGCCCCATATACCAGTACCTCCCTATATTAGGTATTTTGACGAGTTCAGGTACAATACTCACCGAAATTGTTTGAAATGTTGTATTTGAAGTTCGTAATGGATGCTACAGAATATGACAAAAAATTGTCTACGCAGGTCTTCAGGTCTTCGCACAGCTCCGATATAACGGTACCTCCCTATATTCTATATTTTGACAATTTTAGCTACATTATTCACCGTTTATTTCAAGTTCCGAATTTGAATTTGTAATGACTCATGGCAAATAACGCCTATGTGGGTCCACGTCGTATACACCAATATAACGGCAATATTCGGTATTTTTTAAATTTTACCAAAGTTTTCTCAGGATTTTATTTCCTAATTCGTTCCAAATGGTGGAGGGTATTCAAAGTTCTGCTTTTTAACTTTTTTTTTTTTTTTTGCTTCAAACTCGACATTATTTTGTGTGTTTGCTCCGCATGTGAAGAATGCAATTAGAACTTACTTAAGTCGATCCTTTTACTTATTTCTGACACCCTTTACTACACACATTTCCGTAGTTTCGTTTCTCTAAAAAAAGCTTTATTTTTATTACCTTTTTAATTATTTTAATAAATTCTTCACTAAAAAGAAGTCTGTTGACTCCTACTAAATCAAGCTCGAAAGGGTCTATCACATCGGCAGTGCCATTTTCAGGAGTAAACGTTAGATCAAGTATTGAATTGTCACTATAAAATTCAAATTTCTCTTTGTTCTTTGTTTATATATAAATATAAATATATATATATATATATATATATATATATATATATATATATATATATATATATCTTATTATTGTTCTCGTCCATTACATCTCTCATTTAGTTGTTATTATTATTAGTATTTTTATACCTTAAGGAGTATATTCTAGTTTTTTCCGTCCTAATTTTTAATATATTTCGATGTATTTTCCCAACAAACGTCACAGTATTTATATCAGACTAATAATATAGGCTGAGAGTATACATCTATCGGCAAAACCGACTGACGCCTTTTAACTTGTATTTTTTAGAAGCACTAGATTATAGTGGTTGTTCATTTATATTTTAATACCACTAAAGTTTAGTTAATTGCACTACCACTAAAAATTTACTAATTCTTTAATTCTTAGTGCACTAAAATTTAGTGCAATATGCCCAACCATGGTTGATTAACATTATTTTAAAGTATTTATTTCAAGATTTTCAAAGTTTTGTCAGTAATTGGTCTGTTCCAGAACATCATAGTTATAATAATTCGAAAGCAATATTCATGTCTTCTGGCAGTTCCATAAAGGTTTTGAGAAGACCCTGTTGAAAATTTGTAAAAATAAACATATTTTCTTTAGAAAATGCATTGCTTCTTTCGTGCTGAAAGTCCTTCAGAGAAAAAATGTAGTTTTTAATGGAATAAATAATTTTTCTTAGCGAAATTTTATACAAACATAGTTGGCATCATATTCGAAGCTATTATAATTTCTTTTATTTCTTTTTTACACTTAACTATAAAAATTCGTATTTATTTGAGTTTAAATATAAAAAAAATGCCGACTACTGAGACATTCCGAACTTAGGCGCACTTACCCTATTATATTTTGTACTTTTGTAGTATGATATCCGAATACATGACATATTTTAAAATTGCAATACATGAAGTTAGTTCAGTATCCATAACTTCCTAGTACTCTTTTAGTACAAATCGCACACACTATGTAGTTTACGTGCCGCAAGAATCATCGCTCTTATAGCATAATGTTTAGTGCATGTGAGTTAACTGCATTTAGAACTTCCACATGCCCTCATGAACATTTTCAAGATTCTTGCTTGAATAGAACTGCTTTTTGCGTACAATGGATATGCACAAAATTAACTACTTACTTTCACTTTAATTGGTCAGATCATTCAATCGAAAAAATTACTTAAATCTTATGTCTAAAAAATCATACGAACTAGACTTTTATATAGATTTGAACTTAATTGTCCTGACAATGTGTAACAACCCACATATATAAGAAGTTCCTTATTGCGTCTCATTATTTCAAGGATGGTTAAAGGGGTTATTCAAAAATCAGCTCCGTCTACTACACACGTGTCAACCCGGGCCACTCTCAACAAAAAAAATCGATGTATCTAAAAATAATATACCTATTTGTTGGACAACATATCCAACCAAGTCTTTAACAATTAACCGTTATAAAGACAAAAATAAACGAAAACAAACAAACACTGTATCTTATCAACAGTCATTGGGTCACACGCCAAAGTGACAGCACAACAAAGGAGCAAAGAACTATTAACATTGAAGGGGGAAAATCGATAAACAACCACCGTCACAATTACCACTATCACTGTCACCATCAGCCACCCACCACCGATTCTGCTACCCATCCGCAACACAAATCATAATCTACCCCATGTAAAGACGGTTTAATGCATGGACATTCAATTTATCAATAGTTCATAACAATTCCAATAATGCCCCACACACTCAAACACCTGCTCCACTCAGTGCCTGGCAGGCACATGCTGTAATTCTCGATTTCTCGATGTCTAACTGCGATTTGGAAAAGTTGGAGAGTTATATAAACAGAAAAGTCTAAACGCGTGTACACGGCCAACCTCGTATAGATACTCATACAAGCACACACATCTCTACATGTCGAACGTTTTCACATGTACAGGCAAACTCACCATTTTTCCACTGTTAAACACAATGAATGCATTTTCCAGCCCCCGAAAACCATTAACAAGTTACAGCCATTGCGACTTCGTCAACGGCTGATTTTATATTCACAATTATTTTTTTCACTAAATGAATCATGGCTGCGTTTTCACTTCATCGAGGGCCATTAATTTATTTTCGATGGAAAAACACTTCCCTTGCTATTCACCGAAAACGAACGACGAGCATTTGAATGAATTTTCTTCTTCAACCGCAAAATTAACGAGAACATTGCATATTGGCCTCGAACGAGGTCGTCAATGTCGGCTAGACCCAACACACTCGCACTCACACACACAAATTACCCGATTTCAATAGAAAAAATCAAAGTGAGAAAATATCACACATGCAAAATATCACAGATTTCGTCAATAGATTTTCAATTTATTGTTGTAATCTTAATTTGTTGAATTTTAATGAAAATATTTTATTATGAAAAGACTCGCGCAAAACAACGACACTGGCCAAATATTATTTTTCTTCTATTTAACACACGACTATTGTGAGACTGTTCGTGAACTTTCAACTGTTCCTTGTCGTTTGCAGCAGTGATAAAAATGTTACGGTGTTACCGTTACAAAACGGAATATTCCTACTAGGGGTATGCAGGTCGATTATCGACTATTCGATTCAATTTATCGACTTTGCAATTTGTTTTTTGAACTACTTTTTGTACTGTGTTCCAACGACTGCAAGAATCTATTAGATTTGCAATTAGTTGCTATAAATTATAAATGAAAATAATTAATAATAATAATTAATAAAATAAACTAAAAAAGTATTGCAGGTTTTTTTCGTAATTGGCCTACCTTAGACCCGAAAAATACTCACTTTCCCCACAGTGGTAAAATGTTTCGTACGTCGTACGTAATTTAAAAAGTAAAAAAGCACCCAAGTTCGGGGGAGCGAACTTTTAATACTTTAATCCCTAGACGAGGACCTGTATACGCAATTTTTTGTCATAGGCTCTTGTGCTCATTATGATCTATAAATACGAAATTTGAAACAACTCCGGTAAAAATGTCGATATACGAGGGATATACAATATCGTAGACCTATATCAGCAAATTTCTTCCAGGGGGTAGAGTACTCACAAAGAACTTCTTGTGTAGGAGTTCAGATAATTCCATTGAAAAATGTGGCTAAAATCATTAAAATATCGGGTGGTACCGTTGTATGGGGGCCTATTTAGAGAATTCTCTTCCAGGGGGTAAAGTACTCAAAAATAACTCCTTTTGTGGATTTTCAGATAATTCCATTAAAAATAATTTCACAAAAAAATATTTTGACTCTAGCGTGATTAAAGCAGACGAACAGGGCTTAGTCGTCTTGGAATTTTACGCTGATCAAGAATATATATATACTTTGTTAGGTCCAAAATTATTATTTCGATGAGTTACAAACGAAATGACAAACTTAATATACCGTCCATACCATGGTACAATTGTACCATGCTCCATACTATGTATGGAGGAGGGTATAAAACTCTGTACGATCGACAACTCTATTGGTACAAAAATAATGATCATCCCTATATGGTAACATATTTAGTGCGCCCATATTACCCAAATACCATGGTAAAATGAATACAAGGTAGGCTAACTTTGAAAAAATTGCAAGTACCTGTACCTACCTGTAATGTCAGAATTGCTATCAAAACAATAAAAAAGCAAACAACTTGTTGCATTGATTTTGAATAAATAATTTAAAACCGCGAAAACTGAATGAAAATTGTGTTCTATATATCTCTTATGGTTTATTTCGCGACAAAAACTGTAGACTTTGTCGATGCATACGTTGCAATAAGCATTTTGAAAACACCCGAATTTGAATATTTTCTGAACAATTTTTTATACCCTCCACCATACTATGGAGGGTATATTAATTTTGTCATTCTGTTTGTCACTCCTCGAAATACTCATGCCAGACCCAACAAAGTATATATATTCTTGATCAGCGTAAAATTCTAAGACGATTTAGCCATGTCCGTCTGTCTGTCTGTGTGTCTGTCTGTCTGTCCGTCTGTCTGTCTGTCTGTTGTAATCACGCTATCTTTCGAACAAATTGAGATAGAAGGCTAAAATTTTGCACACATGTATATTTTGCTAGTAGGCAGGTTAAGTTCGTAAATGGGCCATGTAGGTCCAAGTTATCATATAGCCCTCATATAACGGTACCTCCAAATATTCGGTATTTTGATGATTTTAGCGACATTATTCACCGAAATTGTTTCAAATTTGTTATTTGAAGTTCGTAATAGATACTACATCCTAAGTCAAAAAATGAGCCATGTAGGTCCACGTCTTCATATAGTCCCCATATAACAGTACCCCCCGATATTCGGTATTTTGATGATTTTAGCGACATTATTTAGCGGAATTGTTCCAAATTTGGTATTTGAAGTTCGTAATAGATACTGCAGCATAAAACAGAAAATGGTCATGTAGGTCCACGTCTTCATATAGCCCCCATATACCGTACCCCCCCGATATTCGGTATTTTGATGAATTTAGCGACACTATTTACCGGGATTGTTTAAAATTTCGCATGTGAAGTTCATAATGGATACTTCAGCCCATGCCAGAAAAATGTCTGTGCAGGTCCACGTCTACGTATAGTCCCCATATAACGGTACCCCAAATATTCGGAATTTTGATGATTTCAGCTACATTATTAACAGATTTTTCTTCAAGTTTCGCATTTAAATATTGTAATAACTTATGACAAAAGTTGCCTATGCAGATCCACGTCGTCGTATAAGCATTCGGTATTTTTTTAGATTTTAACAGAATTTTTAACGGATTTTATTTTATATTTTTTTTTTTTTTGGAAATTGCCAAATTTGTACCAAATGGTGGATGGTATGAAAAGTTCGGCCCGGCCGAACTTACAGCTTTTTTTCTTGTTATTATTGAAAAGAAGACACACACACATAAGCAAGTGAAGTTGACATAATAAGCCAGAAAAATAAAAAAATTGAAATCATATGGTAGTTCTGCCCTACCTTGAATTCATTGTACCATGCCAAATATATTCGAATTGTATCGTTTTCCAATGTAGCTCATTCAGATTTATGTTATGGTTTCCTATTATTTCCAACATACATGACCGGTTCCAGAACTGTGAGAATGTAAAAAAATTTTACTGCAAAACCTGATTTAATGATATTGACAAAAAAAATTGCAAAAATAGTAGATTCTTGCAGGTTCTGGTACAGAGCAACAATCAGTACAAGTATGTGCTCTCAAAGTTTGTTCAACTACATAACATTCAAAAAAAGCTAAAAACTACCAAATATTTTCTCAAAATTCCTTTTTTATTTGAAAGTAAAAATATTCAAATTTTTGTCTCGGCTGGCCATGCAGTAGCCTTCACCAATGGCTTCACAATATTGTCCCTTAAAGCGTCTACTGTCTCTGCCTTGTCGGCGTATCTCTTGTTTTTTACGGTACCCCACAAATAATAATCAAACGATGTCAAATCGCAGTTTCGAGCTAGTCTACCGACATTAGTTCTGCGTCTGATAATGCGATCTTCACAAACAGGACTCAAATTATCGAGTGTGGCTTCGGCTGTGTGGCACGTAGCGCCGTCCTGTTGAAACCAAACGTTGTCAACATTAGGTGTGTCTGGTTACTTTTTCCTGCAGGAATTGTCCAGCAACATCTTTCTGAGAGAGTAAGGTAGTTGTATTCTCTTTTGCAAGAAAAATGAGAAAGGTAAACAGAAGCTTGCAACTAATCAGCTGATTTGTTAAAACAAAACAATTTGTCCCCCATTCAAAGAATTAAAAGAATCCTTTCTCAGCTCACCAATTTTTCAAACAAACAATAGAAAACATCTGATTAAATGTCGATGAATGAGAAGAAGAAGAGTTGCAAGTGATTGCAAGAAGAAATTTGTCCAGCAAGAATTTGAGAATTTACAAACTCTTAATTAAAGAACTGTCAAAATTTCTCTCTCCAACTGCTCTCTTTTTCAGAACTTTCGGGTTAACAGACTTCCAGTAACAATTGTTACAAATTTTGGGGGTAACCAGACACACCTATTCTCCTCTTCAATGTTCGCGACCAAAAATGCATTCAACTTTGCACGATAACGTAACGGCCACTCCTTGCTCATTTCCGAAGAAAAAAAGGCCCAATTATGTCTCTGGACCAAAATCTGCACAGAACTCTGATTGGTTTGGGTGCATCGCCTTTCAAAGCATACGTGCGGGTTTGCCGGAACTTAGCTTTTTTATATAGGAAGTTGACGGTACACGTTCTGCAACATTAGCATTATTAGGTGTGTCTGGTTACCCTAAAATTTGTAACAATTGTTACAAATTGTTACTGGAAGTCGTCTGTTAACCCGAAAGTTCTGCAAAAGAGAGCGGTTGGAGAGAGAAATTTTGACAGTTTTTTCAGTGAGAGTTTGCAAATTCTTGCTGGACAAATTTTTTCTTGCAATCACTTGCAACTGTTCTTCTTCTCATTTATCGACATTCAATCAGATGTTTTCTATAGTTTGTTTATTTATTTTTGTGCTTTCAATTTGAAAATATTTTTTTTTTGGAATTAGCTAGACTAATAGTTTTTGGAGAACAACTTTACAAAATGTGAAAAACGTTAATGTTAATATGTAATAAGAAAATAAAAGACTATTTCCAACATTTTTATTTAAAAAACTTGTTAAATTAGTATTGCTTCCTTTGTTTTAATTCTCCTTATGGGGGACAAATTGGTTTGTTTTGACAAATCAGCTGATTAGTTGCAAGCTTCTGCAGGAATACCGTCTGTTTACTTTTCGCATTTTACTTGCAAAAGAGAATAAAACTACCTTTTCTCTCAGAAAGAAGTTGCTGGACAATTCCTGCTGGAAAAGTAACCAGACACACCTTATTATACCCTCCACCTTGGAAAGGAGGGTATATTAACATTGCCATTCCGTTTGTAACATCCCTAAATATGACGAATATTTAGGGATGTTACAAACGGACCCAAGACCCAAGTATATATATTCATAATCAGCATAAAATTCTAAGTCGATTTAACGATGTCCGCCTGTCTGTCTGTCCATTGAAATCACGATACAGCCCACATTATTTGACGTAGAGCGTCAAAATTTAGCAGAACAATTTGTATTGTATCTAGGATGGTTGGTATTGAAAATGAGATATATCAGTCCAAATTTTGGTATACTCCCCATATAACGGTACCCCCCGATATTCGGTATTTGGATGATTTTTGAAACATTTTTCAAAGAATTGTCTGAAAATTCGTATTTGTAGGTCATAATGGGTCCTAGTTCGTGTGGCGAAACATTGTATGTATAGGTCCACGCTTTGGTATAGCTCCCATATAACGCTACCTCCCGATTTTCGGTAGTTTGATTATTTTTGCCACATTTCTTCTTGAATTTGTCTAAAAATTCGTACTTGTTGGTCATAATGGGTACTAATGTTTCCTTTACCCTAGGGTGGATGGTATTAAAAGTTCGGCCCGACCGAACTTTGTTTTTTTTTTTACTTGTTTTTAAAGTAAAGTCGCAATATTTGCATACTCCCAGTAACTCAAATCCAAATGTGTCTCTCTCTTATTGGAGATTAAGAAATTTGAAAAATTTGTACAAATTATCGAGTAAACAGACACTCTTAATGTTAACATGATGTTTATTTGCCAAAATTGGATGATATGTTCTTGTTTTATACGGCAAATTATTATCTTTTTTTACCTTTTGTAGCGGAGGAGATGGACCGATGTTGCCCATCTCCTCGATCTAAGTTTAACAAAAATATTACGATGTACCAAGTTAAAAGAGCTCCCAATTTTGCATAAAACATCTAATCATGATGATGAACTTTCGTCTGATATACAGTTAGACCGTCTAGAGTTGGATAGCTGAGGGTCCAATCGAAGTTCATGCCAGATATCTCTATCAAGAATGCGGACATCTAGTCAATCGGAGTTCATGACTGGTGATATAAATAATTCTATTACTAAGCATCAATCCCACGGCAGCGGGTTCTACGATATCGGATTGACCCGAAACAACAAGATCCCAGTTTCGGCCAGCGGCTGCCAACCCAGTATGTACATGTTTGTGTTTGTTCATTTTTCTGCATTGGGAGCAGCATATCCCGGAATGCTTCCCCCTGACCTTGGTTCTGCTCGGATTGTCAGAACGTCATCCACCACAGATCTGTTTCGGTGCGATGTAATGGATGTAGAGAATGGGTGCACTTCAAGAACTGTTCCGGACTAAGGCGTTTGCGAAACTACAGCGAAAGGGATTATTTTGCGACTTGCTGCAGTAACGTAGTCCACGAGTCCACTTCTTCGTCGTCCTCATCAGAGACGTCGTCGGAGTATGGAACTCCACCGCAGTCTCCAGAACAGCAACCAACACCGCAGCACCTAACGCCACACATTGCTGTTCCAACTCCGGACTGTGCATCATTCTTGCCATTCAATTGCAACGGACTCCGAGGCAAAATAGATGAGATAGTGGAATTTATGAATCGGTGGAATATTAAGATCGCAGCGGTGCAGGAAACCAAGTTGAATGAAAATTGCAGCCTACAACGTTGTTATGGTTACAACGTACTAAGGAAGGATCGCACCAGAAGTGGAGGTGGGGGATTAGCGTTCCTGTTACACCATTCTGTTCAGTACAGACCTATCTTGCTTGAGCTAGTCTTTAGTGACCCGTACATGGAATGTATGGGGGTAGCAGTCAAGTGTGGAACTGCCGAGGTAGAGGTGCTTAATGTGTATATCCCGCCGATTAATAGCTGTGAACCACGTTATTTGCCTGATATTAGGCTATTGTTGGTAGGCAACAACAGCCTGGTACTAGGGGATTTTAATGCCCACCGTGAGTTGTGGCATTCCGTCCTAGGTAATGACCAGAGGGGATCAGCGCTGGCAGAGCAGACTGACTGCTCCACATTCTACACGGTTAACGAGGATGAGAGTGAGAGGAGAGTGTCACAGTTCGCCAGACTTAACCATAGTGTCACCCGGTGATAGGACCTCATTCACTTTTATCGACGTAACGGTGACTGATCCGAAGAGGTGGGCCCGCTACTGAAGCCAGGCAAGGATGCCAGTAAAGGCGAATCGTACAGGCCGATTTCACTTTTGTCCCAGTAGCCAAGACTCTTGAGGCTTTACTCCTCCCCAGCATTAGAGGAAGCTATACAGTTCCCAACCACCAGAACGGATTCCGTCCACAACATAGTACCACAACAGCACTACACGTCATTTTCACACATATTAGTAGAGGACTGAACCAGAACAAGCCGTGTGACAGAACAGTGTTGGTAGCCCTTGAGGTGAGTACGTTTGGCTGCAGCGTATCATGCGGTCCTGTGCCACAAGCTAGGCAGATGTTCTGCACATCGCCGTCCATCGGGGGCCAATAGGAATGGAAGCGGCTGCACCATCCGGAACTTAGTTGAGCCAAAACTACTCCGGTTTGTCGGGGCGGAGGTTGTCTATCCACCAGATGGTGATTCGGATGGCTTTGTTGGTAACACCCAAGCAGGTGTTGCATCGACAGCATTTTATTATGCTGTCGCACAGGTAAGACCTTCGCCTCCTCATGTAGATGGCCTGTTGCGTTTCAAAGATGCCGATCTGGCTGGACTAAATATTTTTCTCCTGCGTAGCACTCACATTGGCGGACTACACCGGAGCCGCATAGTTGTAAGAGGCCAACAAGGTTTCCTTATCAGCACCCCAAGAGCTGCCGGCAAGAGACTTGAGAACCTTGTTCCTACTTCTGATCTTATCGCAGATAGCTGTGTTATGCGCGAACGACTTGAAAAGGCTATCGAATGTGACCCCAAGACCTTGAGGTAGTTGTTGGTCGGAATTACAGCTCCATCGCTCTGCACTTTCAAAGATAGTCTCATCTCCGCAGTCCATGTGGTGAAAAGTGTGGCCGTCGATTCAGTGGCGGATATCTTCATATTCCTCGAAGTGAAAAAGGCGGTTAGATCAACTAAGTAGGCATTTAACCGATCGCATATGTCATCTATGATGGGTCCGGACGCCACGTACGCACAATCATCTGCGTACGATATTATCTCTATGCCGTCTGGAAGGGCGTGGAATGTCAGAAAGGTAGAGTAAACAGTTCCGGAGACATCACCCCACCTTGGGGAACTCCCTGTTTCACTCTACGGTAGCTCGACTTCTTGTTTCTCAATTCCACGTACGAATGTGGGTGGACGAAAGTAGATTACAATCCAACGTTTCAAACTTGGCCGGAGGGCGTTGCGTTCAATGTCCTCGAACAATGTGGCATGATTGACTGCCACCATAACTGTTCTGTCACACGGCCTGTTCTGGTTGATTCCTCTGCTGACATGTGTGGAAATGGCGTGTAAAGCTGTTGTTATGCTATGCAATTTTCGGAATCCGTGTTGATGATCAGCTTCTGGGAAACGAAAACAGTAGCATTACCTCATTGGCATTACCCGACATATGGTCCTCTACAAAGTTTGACCTCCCCTTAGGGGTGGTTATTCAATTCTTCATTGGAGAGGGATTAACTCTCCACCAAATTGGAGTCTTCCTACAATGTTGTGGTCTTGGCCACCTATTACTCCGTGATGTGCCCAGGTTTCACCAATTATTTCTCAATTAGGGGCGCTAAGTTCGTCGTGTTGAACTCGCAGCTATCCAAAATTTCAAATGGGTATTCCACTATCCGCAACCTGTGGATGTATCCTGTAACATCCATCTATGCTTCCGCGAACGGCGGATTTAAAGATAAAAAAAATAAATATTAAACTGCATTTAAATTGTCGTAAGCAACTTATCTACAGTCATTCAAAAGTCAAGGTAAAGAAAACATGATCGCATTGTTGTATAAGTATTTATTTGTGTTGTGAAATAATTTATGTTTAAGCAAGCGAATTTCTTATTTTTTACAGCTGATTTCTAAATTGATATTTACATGAAACGCGTGTATCTTCAAATACGTATTTATATTTCCTCTCAACTAAAAATAGATGCTCGTCTTTCAATTAAGTCAAAAGCTCGAGTTGAAACGTTTATATTAACTTAATGGCCGTGGCCTGCTTTAAAATCAAATTATTGTAACGTTTTAACTCTTTTACATGTTAATTATTTCAGAACGAACTGTGTAATTTAGCATTCACAAAAAAACACAAAAATCTGGATGAAAATTAGTACTCTAATATTTCCGAATTGAATGCATATATTAGAATTGATCATGAAACTCATAATAATAAAACTATATCTAGTATATATCGTGACGTCGATATGATCGAAGCTATTTTAATGGGTATAAGTAAGCCAATACTAAATTTTACCTAGACAAAACACATCATTCGAACTTTACATATTTTAAAAATAATTGCCACTATAAATTAATTTGTATGACCACTTTATATGAAAAAAAAAAAAAAAACAAACAAATTATCTAAAAATTAATATTAATATTTTGATATTAGGAATACAAATAACATACATACATACATATATAATACGTACATTCATTCATCATATACATACACAAATTAACGTATTAATTATTTGAAACGCATTAATGTTTGATTTTCCAAGTTGCACTTTTTTGTTCAAATGACACTGCATCCGGTGGCAACTGTATACATGTGCTTCCATCCACATCTATAAATTGATTATTTATTGTGCAATAACTCAGCTTCATTACTGTCGTAGCAACGTCTTTTAAAGTCGCTCAAAAATAGACCATCCTGCAGACTCTGTTGTTCAATGTTGACGGATTGTGTAGTTTTGCTAAAAAATATAATGAAATTTTAAAAATGATAAAATCATGCATATTGTGGCTTTCTGGAAAAGAGAAACAGAAGTTGGCCGGTGTCAATTGGATTTATGGGTGTCACGTTGTTTTCTTTTCTGAGGACTTTTTTTAGTGACAATTGAACTGTCCAATTTTCTAACTTCTGATTTTTATAGAATTTACAATAAAGCCTCCCATGTCCACTTTCACGTCGAAAAGTACTATTATCAAAACATGAAAAATATAAATCGCACACGCAGTAATACCTAAATATTTCAAAAGTAGTTCCGAAGCAAGGACTGGTAGTTAGTTAGTTAGTTACCGGTTAATCATAGCTTTAAACCGATTTCCACTAATTTCAATGGATTTCATGCTCAATGCGACTCGTATGGAACACATATAGAAGAGCTTGCTCGGGGGATACATTTTCTATATGTAGAACAATTTCATATCAAAGTAAGATAATTTATGGATACAAATTATAAGAATATTAATATCCCTTTAAGCCTCACTTCAAAACTATATGTACTTATTTCGAACAAAATCATGCAAAATTCACATGGCACGGGATTCGCTCTCTATTCGTTGTTCGACCATTAATTATGAAATATCTACTTGATTCCCCCACAAATCACTCTCAGAACTACTATGAAATGTATACCATCCCTAAAAAATGAGAGCATTTATCGAAAAAATAAAAATAAATTAAAAAAATTCATGAAATTTTAAAATTTTACAGGAATACTGAAATTTATGAATGAAATATATAATGTTGAATGGCGTATGTGCATTCAAACGATAGTAAATGTTGTTTTCTCTCTCATCCAAGGTACGAGTTTTGTCCACGAGTTGGAATTTCGACAGAAAACTGAAAACAAAAGAGGCAATATTTTCAAAATTTTTGTATCGACAAAAATTTTTTTTGACAAGTGACTGCAACCTAGTTTACCGAATTTAAAAACGGAAAATACAAAAATATACTTAAATAAAATGTCAACATTTAAACAAAAAATTCAAAACTTGTATGAACATTTTTTAATTAAAGATAAAATCAGTCTTTTGAAGAATAACATCTTCTATTAGTATTAATGCTAATTTCATGTACTTTCGTACAAATTCCATTAAAAATCATCAAACAAAAAATTTGAAAAAAGGAATTATGTTACTATGAATTACGCATCGTGCCATATAAACGGATTAATTCGTGTACCTAATTCTGAGAGCGAACAACGTGATTGAAATTGCAATGAGAACATAGCATCAGAATTTTAAACATAGTCATCTTTAGAATTTTACATTTCCGGAAAATCTTATTTTGTTATAATCGAAATAAAATTGAATATGGAATAATTTAGTGGAGTGGTGACCCTGAGGAATATGCCATCCCTAATCCAATTGACTCATCGCAATTATTTACCTTGTTTTATTTAGCACAGCACATCCATTATCCAGTGACATTTGCAAAGAATACAATTGGGCCAAGTTTAAAAGACTTTCATGTTCATATATTTCCACGTCAGGCAGACGAATTTGAAGTTGTCTTGGATCTTGCAAAAAACGTGCCAAACGCTCATTCACTGATGTTTTTATACTAAATCCTGGTCGTTCGCCTTTAACGCGGCGACAACCTGCCCGTATTTCTCTCACTTCACTTGGCTGGCAAGGTGGCGATGAGAGAAAGGGATTTGAAGTTTCACCTGACATTTCACTTTCGATCTGTTTAATTGGTACGGTGACATCATCAGAGACCACATCCGAACGACACAACGAGGAAAATCCAATTTTACTGGCAATGTTGATGGGTTCCGACGACTGATACGGTAATTCTGTAACCACGCCCCTGTTTGAATCGGCGGATGGCGGGAAGTTTAGCGATGTGTTTTCACCAACAGTGGTATTGTTCGACATCACAGTGTCATCTTCGCCAATCTGCAAAGATCCCACACTTTCAGGGTCAGATTTAATTTGCGGCAATGTATTGCGTTTTGTAAGTTTACGTTTGGTATCGTATTTCGATTCACCACATAGCGTTTCGTTCCCTGGCCAGTCAGTTAACTCATCATCCCCTTCTCGGTCGGTGTCATTAACAGCATGATCATCCGAATCAGATGAGCTCAACGAACTCGAACTGTTGAAATCCTCACAATCCATTGAGTTTTGGTCTACAGAAAATTGCAGTAATCGTCGACGATGATGATGACCAGCAGAACGTTTCTTACGGTGGTTTTGAAAATTTGTGTCCTGTTGTTGTGACATGACATTGGAAAGTAGAAATGAGGATTCCTTGCCGGGACCAAATATTTGTTCAGCTATCATTGATCCAGACGCGTCCGGGCTCAAATTAAAAGTTGACGACGCGTCTAAAATTGTTGATTCGTTTCCAATATCTTCGATGGCGTCATTAATTTTACTATCAGCCACACTCACTGTAGTAATAAAACTTTCCTTTTCCATTTGTTCGAATTGAGAAGTTTTTGCAGCTTCAGTCTTTTGTTGTTGTTGGGATATGCGCTCAATTTTTGATAAGAGACCCTTATTCAAAGGTAAAAGCCTATCGCTGTGTGGTTTTGATGTGGATGAAAAACTGCGTGGTCTCATGCTATATTCTTCCAAATGGCTGTTGTGGCGTGGCATACTTGAAGAGTGGTCATGTTCCTGATAACGATCACGGTTCGAACGCTTACGCTTTCCACAGAAAAACATCTGACGACTGTTGACTTCGGGTTTTAGGCCTCGTTTACGCATCGATAATGTGCCAGGACATCCTGTTGAGGTGTTATTCGGGGCCAAGCTCAAAGTCGATACAGATGGCTCGGGAACTTGACTTGTAGATCCTGCACCAATTACCTCATAATCCATTGAGATGCGTTTCAGCTTACGTTTCCTTCTTGCGCTCGGTTTAAAGAATCTAGAAAGAATGTATGTGCAATTATTAGTTTATCATACCATCTAACAAAACATACCTCGCCGGACTGAATGTCTCATTAAGTGAATCCGATTCCAATGTGCCCAAAACACGTGCCGTACTCAATGATTTACAAGCCAGACGTGGAACACCCAGCTCCTCCTTGTCATCTGAGTCACTTGGTAAATTAACATTTACGGTATCGAGTCCATCGTTATTATTTGTGGCTGTCTGAACAGATGCTCCTAGTGCTGCATCGGTTGGACTACTGGAGTCTTCGGTTGGCTGTGGGGCACACGCTATAAAAAATGATAGTTCAAGAATCAACTGCAGCACAAATACACCCAACTTACGCAAATTGCCAGTGGAACGAGTTCGTCTCCTTTGTTGACCCCATCGGCTGACTTTGGCGCGATCAAGTAGTGAGGTTTCTTCCAAGGCCACCGTTAAATCATGGGAAAACTGATCCATTCTGAAGCAGCGGCAGCCTAAGCTGATACAGAGAAAGAGAACAGAAAACTCAAGCTCCAGAAAGTATATTCGGAAAACGGGAACGGGAATAGGTGTATCCAATGAATCTTTGCTTGCAAATGCAGGCCAGCTGTTGTAGAATCTAAACGGAGAGAATGCCAAATATTTCATTTTTTTATATTTGAATGGATATTTGGATTTGGAAATTATATTGTACAATTCCAAATTACCTGCTTATGAGCTTATGGAGACCGAGAAAGTCCGACAGCGCAACAATGAAGAGCGAATTATGAGAGCATTGGAAACAAAAATGAAAAACGTCCCAATGAAACGAATATGAAGGCCACAAAGGAATAGTCGATAAAAACTAACGAAAGCAAAGACTCGGGGTACTCTGTTGTTTACGAATGAGACATGAGAAAATTGAACATCTTCACTAAAGAGCGCGAAACTAGTTGCTACTATCGTTTGCCGAACTCGACTATGGACTTGGGTGAAAACCGAGTACTCGACTATTCATAGTCGATTGTTCGACTTATGTTATGTTCTCATTGCAATTTCAATCACGTTGTTCGCTCACAAAATAAGGTACACGACAGTGTTGCCACCAAAAAAGCTGCATAATACACACGGAGTGTAATAATATTACACATTTTGGAAAAAATAACACATGCATCAACATTTTTTTAATAAAAGTAATTTTTTAAACAAAAATTACTATATAGCCCAAAAACAAACGTAAATTCATGTTATATCAAATTTAAATGAAAAATTTACAGGGTTGCCCATATTCGATGGACCCATCTGGCAACGCCGTAACTTTTGACAGAGATGTCACATCGCTTAATGACATACCGCGTCTGAAGCGTCAGTCCAAGCAGATTTTTACCATGAACCAATACACGCCACGCGAGCGTCCGAGCGAAATGGCCAAAGATGACGAGCAATTTTGGAACAAAATTATCATGTCCGATGAAGCCCATTTCACATTGAATCGCGACATGATGACCAATTTTGTGATGCCAATTATTCGTCGAAAGCGTATGAGGCAGTTCTGGTTTCAACAAGACGGCGCTCTGAATGAATTTCTGAATGATTTGTTTCCGGGGTCCGTCGAAGATGGGCAACCCTGCATTATAACTTAAAAAATAATATTTGTGCGTGTTTCTGAAATTTGTTTTACAATTATTTAAGTTGCTAGATACTCGATTAGTTAAGTCTGGAGTATTCCCCATTTGACTTATTATCTTCATATTACCCTCTATTACAGAGAGTAGTGTTTTTCAAAAAGAAACTGATAGCTTTGCAATATTTGCTGATCGCTACCAGTATCATGAATTCATCCCGCTGAAAAGATTGTTCACTTAGCTTTATGATTGGACGATTTTGGTGAAAAGCAAGCACTTTAAGTGTCGAACTTTATCATAGTAAATGAGAATCGTACTCCCTTCTGGCGTTTCCCAAAATAAGCTTAATATTCTTTCTGCAGTATCATTTGAGAAGAGTATCATAAAAAGTACTAACAATAGTAGTGGCACATGAATAAATCCACGAATTAATCCGATCATATGGCACGATTCGTAATTCATAGTAACATAATTCCTTTCCAAAAATTTTTGTTTTTTATAGATATTTGTACGAAATTATATGAAATTAGCATTAATAATAATAGAAGAAATTATTGTTTTTCCTCCAATGATTTATTTTAAATTTCATTTAACAATTTTCATTCATGAATGATTCAAGGCATTGCTTTATTGGGCTTTTAAGTTTGTAATTTAGGTCATTCATGTTTTCAACTTTTTGTATAAATGTAGACACTTTCTGTTTTTAAATTAGGTTGTCAAAAAATCTTTTGTCGATACAAAAATCTGGAAATTTTCGCCTCTTTGTTTCCAGCTTTCTGTCAAAATTCCAATTCGTGGACAAAAAGCGTACCTCGGATGAGATAAAAAACAAAATTTGCTTTCGTTTGAATGTACACACGCCATTCAACATTATCAGGCATGCCATAAGAATGAATTCGGTACGAAAGTGATTTTAATTTTGTATTTAGCTTCTTCAGAAGATGTAATGTTTTCAATTTGAAACCACTTTTGTTTTTGCAAGTGAAATTGTATTTTTATAGAAACTTGTGACTTTAATAACAAAATGTATTGTGGAATGCTGTTTAATCAATTAATCGTAATTAAAATTTTGGGGGCAGGCACAGGAATTCGCTCTACAGAAACAATCGATACTCTCGGCATTGCGTAAAAAATTATGAAATGAACTTTCTTATATCTTATATCTTCTCATATACATCTTCATATGTCCTATCCATATATATACCGTTCGTATAACTGATATCAGAACCTTATTTTCGAAATTGTAACTTTCCAAATTGAGGGGGGTATTAAAAGTTCGGCCCGTTCGACCTTAACAGATTTTACTTGTTATACTAACTTACTTATTTTTAGTCCAGTAGTTTTTGTTGCAGATTACAAAAAATATACTGAAAATAAAGTGAAGTTTCAAAACGAAAGGAAGGAATTGAATCATAAATTGTTGTAGGCAAATACTCTTTGTGCATCAATGAAAGAAATATTTACTAATGACCAAATTGAAATGCTAAGCAAGAAGCACAGAATAGAATGGAAATGACAAGATATTTCAAATGATATATGCCTTCATACTGCGGGACCCAGAGCATACAGACATTTGTACAATAAAGGTCATCCGCTACCACACGTCTCTACTCTTCAGCGATGGTGCAGCAAAATAAACTTTAGTGAAGGGCTTCTGTCGGCATGCATCGACTTTTATGATGCAAATAATTAATTAACGGAAGCAATCCGTGTTCTATGATTTTAACTTCAACATAAGCTCCGAAATATTGAAGAAGACTATTGAACCCCTACGGAGTGCAGAATTTTTAGTTGTGGCAGTAGTATGTGACATGGGTCCATCGAATCGTAAATTGTGGAAAGATTTAAGCATCGCACATGGTAAGCATATTATCGGTATTAACTTGCGTATTAATCACATCGGTAAAAACGGTAAATAAAAATACAGATTTTAATTTAGTAATAGTGTTTTTATAAGAATAGTATAACTTAGAATTATTGATCATTATTATTTTCCCTCATCGCATGGTTTTTTATTTCACGCATTATTTTTTCGCATCAATCACTACCGCATGTGCACGAACTTTTCATTATGCAGGTCATTGGGACTTGAAATATATAAATCGGAGCAAACAACAGATTTTATAAAACTTACATTCTTACATCATCAATATTGTAAGAAAGAGGATTCAAGTACCAGTTGTGTTTGAACATAGCATCCAAGAGGCCGAAGAGTATACCCATGATAACGGCTATAAAGACACAAGTTTCGGCTTAACTCTAGTTTAGTAAAAACTCTTCAATTTTTTCGAAAATTTTTTCAGTGGTAGGTATTTTAACCATGATCCCGGGAAACTATTTTTTTTCTTGACTAGACCACTTATCCACGGATTTTTTATAAAACCCCCAAAAAGTCAAAAAAGGGTCCATTATGGGGGACAACAAAATTGATGCCAAATTATAGCTGACACTTCTACCTTTCCAAAAAGGTTCAATTTGTGCTAATACCTTTACTGAGTCCAGAGATATGGGTCTTTCCATCCGCATAACCCGATTCTAACCAGTTCATTAAAACTATGTTTTCAATAAAAAAAGGTATATTTTGCGTAAGAATGAAATTCAGAAATCTTTGGTTCGCGTTAGCCGGCGTAGGACATACCCAGAGGAGAAAATCTCAAGCCCCGGCCGAAGGCCGGCTACTTACAAAAGGTATCCAATTTAGAAAACTTTGGTTCGCGCTAGCCGGTGTGGGACATACCAAGAGGAGAAAATCTCAAGCCCCGGCCGAAGGCCGGCTACTTACAAAAGGTATCCAATTTAGAAAACTTTGGTTCGCGTTAGCCGGTGTGGGACATACCCAGAGGAGAAAATCTCAAGCTCCGGCCGAAGGCCGGCTATATACAAAAAGTGTCAAATTTAGAAAACTTTGGTTCGCGTTAGCCGGTTTAGGACATACCCAGAGGAGAAAATCTCAAGCCCCGGCCGAAGGCCGGCTATATACAAAAAGTGTCAAATTTAGAAAACTTTGGTTCGCGTTAGCCGGTTTAGGACATACCCAGAGGAGAAAACCTCAAGCCCCGGCCGAAGGCCGGCTACTTACAAAAGGTATCCAATTTAGAAAACTTTGGTTCGCGTTAGCCGGTGTAGGACATACCCAGAGGAGAAAATCTCAAGCCCCGGCCGAAGGCCGGCTATTTACAAAAAGTGCCGAAATTATGAACCTTTTGTTCGCGTTAGCCGGGGTCGGACATACCCATAGGTGAAAATCTCAAGCCCCGGCCGAAGGCCGGCTATTTACAAAAAGTGCCAAATTTAGAAAACTTTTGTTATTCCGACGACTGCTACGCGAAATAAACACTTTTTTTATTAAAAACATAATTTTAATGAACTGGTTAGAATCGGGTTATGCGGATGGAAAGACCCATATCTCTGGAACCGAAAAAGGTATTAGCACAAATTGTAGCATTTTGGAAAGGTAAGAGTGTCAGCTATAATTTGGAAACAATTTTGTTGACCCATAGTGGGCCCTTTTTTGACTTTTTGGGGGTTTCATAAAAAATCCGGGTCCAAAAAATCGATAATTTGACTATAACTTCCGAACCAACTTACCCCTTCATGTGACCACTTGTTGGATAGGTATTTCCATAAGCTTTCAATCGATACCCATATTGTCTATATCGGGTAAGTGGATCCGGGTCCAGGCGGGGTCTTGATCCCGGACTTTTGGGTCAAAAATCTGGGGTCCCGGGTCCGTCCCCCAAGAAAAAATAGTTTCCCGGGATCAGGGTAAAAATACCTACCTCTGGAAAAAATTTCGAAAAAATCTGAGTTTTTACTAAACTAGAGTTGTTCCCAAGTTTCACAGGGCTCGATGATAAAGCCCAGTGATCAAGTCCTTGATAAAATGAAAGAGTTGAAAATACTTTTTAATGATATCAATGGCATGAACATTTGGTATGCCCCCAAACTTCGGCAATTGTTGATTAGAAGGAGTGAAAAGGTTGAACTTTGCGAAAAAGTAAAGGAGTTATTTTTTAAATGCCGCATATTAATCAGAAAAATCTATCTTGCGCGCGCCCTACTGTCCTGTTTTGTTGTTGCAAAACAGAGTGAATGCGCCGCCAACGAAACGAATATGAAGGCCAAAAAGGAATATTTGATAAAAAAAATAAACAAAAAGCAAAATCCTGGAGTACCCTGTTGTTTACGAATGAGATATGAGGAAAACTAAACACATTCACTAAAAGAACGCGGAACTAGCTACAAATTAAATTTGAACCATTGTTGAACGAAAAAGGGAAACATGAAAATAGTGTAAGGTGGTTTACACACCATTGGACAAAACGGTGCAGGCACTTGGATTCGAAGTTGCAGGGAAAATACATGGTAAACTCATTTCAAATTATAATGCCTATCTCTACTCTTTCTCTAATTTACCTTGTCGAATTTCACTGCATAGACAATAGGTTCCCATCTTTGATCTTTAATTGTATACAATTAATTTATGAATATAGATTTGATAATGAGAGGTTGTCAAACGTATAATTATGAAAAAACTGCAAACATATGATTGCATGACGTTACCTTCTTAGTTCTATCATGAGAAAATTCTTTGCAAGGAAGTGCGGCGAAATCCATTCAGCTGTTTAACTATTGGCATTCAAGTATATTTCGGTTGTATAATGCCAGATGTTTTACAATAAAGGGATGGGAATAGTATCAGTAGTGCACAAGTTTTCTCTGTTCAAGAACCTGCAGTGGAATTCTATAATTCATTTTTGAATTACCGACATAAATTGGTAACTTTCAAAGGCTTATGGTTTCGGTAATAGGGGTAGGTAAGTCGACTTTCGATCAATTGATTTCAGTATTTAACGTTCTGGAACTTGAACTCGAAGTCAATATTCGATTTTTCAAACTTACTAAAGTCGATTGTTGAAAAATTCGAGTTTTCACTTTTAGAACAAAATCGAAAACTCGGAAAGTCGATTATTGCTTCCCATTACCTATCCCTAGTACCGAGACTCAAAAATGACTAGGGACATATAAGTCAACTTCGTAGTTTTGCTTCTACCTTATAATAACTATACCATGGTTTACATTATTGAAGGTTAACCCACTAGTTTAACCAGATCTATTGGTTTATTAATCATGTGTGTTTACATACACAATTAGGGTGGAGATATATATGATATTTTTTGGCATGAGTTAAGGCTCATTAGATAGGTCGTGTAAACAGAACAAAAAACTATTACTGTGATTGAAAACATCTCATACTGCCAAATGAATACCAAAATCATTGATTTCTAGTATTGTGTTTGGTGTGACTTGTTTAATTGATGTTAGTGCCTGACAAAAAACAGAAGTCTCTCAATGTTGGCCAATATATGTACTTGGAGGCGGTCAGCGACCATTTTTTTTTTTTTTGGGACGAACCAATGTATTCTCACCTTTATATGTAAAGGAAAAATACAACAGCCAGTAAAACATTCCACAATCATTGGAAAATTCATATAATCTTCTGCACAAACTTGTAAAAACGTTCAGTTTAATTGGAAAATTAATATAGTCATCTACACACGTTCTCAAATCAGGTTATAGTCTGTTTGAACCTAAAAAACTTTACTCTACTATTTCTTCAAATCGTCTCAATTCATTCTATTTTAATGAACTTTTAGGTAAAATAAAATATACCGTGGTATAATAATTTCAAGGCAGCCTATACATATTGACAATGAGATGTTGTCAAATGAATACCTTCTTGATTCTGACATGGTTAGCCTCATTTAAAATACAGTTCTTTCAAGAAAATCTCTTTTCTCTCTGCATAGAAAACATCTTCCCAATCCTGATATATAATAATCATTTTAAAAATGAGATGTCGTCGAACGTACAAATTTGAAAAAATTATACATATGGTTGCACAGGTCTACCTTAACAATTCTGCCATACAACATATATCAAAAGGATGTTACAGAAATACGAATATTCACCCGGGTTATATTTTAAAGGGTACATCAATACACGCAATAGCTAATAAACCCAGTGGGGTAATCATCAACAGTATAAATGTGCTGAGAATACATAAAACGCTTTTCTGAATGGCTTAAGTCATCGGCTGGCTTCTTCAGAAATTAACAAAGGAGCCTAGGGCCAAAATCGAACTAACTCAACCCAAAACTCCTTTGTTCATCTACGAAGAAGCCAGCTGATGACTTAAGCCAGTCAGAAAGGCCTTTCATGTACTCTCACCTTTACATTTCTGATGCCACAATTCAATCAAAACATACACACATTTTGTAAAGCAATTTACACAATAATAGCATGTTTCCATTGGAAACCGAACAACGTTGTTAGCTCTCAGAACTAGGTACACGAATTAACCCGTTCATACGGCACGATTCGTAATTCATAGTAAAATAATTCCTTTTTTTCAAAATTTTGTTTGTTGATTTTAATGGGAATTTATACTAAAATACATTAAATTCTCACTAATATGGATAGAAGAAATGATTATTTTTCTCCCAAAGATTTATTAAAACATTCATTTTATAATTTTCATTCACGTTTCCAACTTTTTGTGTAAATGCTGACATTTTGAACATATTTTTGTATTTTTCTATTTTTAAATTCTGCTGGAGAGACTCTTGTCAAACATTTTTTCTGCCGATGCAAACATTTTGAAAATATTGCCTCTTTTGTTTCCTGTTTTCTGTGGTAATTTCAACTCGTGGACAAAATGCGTACCTCGGATGAGAGAGAAAACAAAATTTACTTTCGTTTGAATGTACATACACTATTCTACTTTGTAGTTTTCATTCATAAATTTCAGTCTTCCGAAAATTTTTCAAAATTTCATTAAATTTTTCTATTTATAATTTTTAAATGTCATAATTTATTTTTTCGATAAATGCTCTCATTTGTTAGGGATGGGACATATTTTTTGTTGTTCTGAGAGTGATTTGATTTGAACAACGTACAAATATGAGTGTTCGCTCAGGAAATTTTGTGTGAAGAATTAGGTAGTTTTTTCATAGTTAATTGTCAAACAACGAATAGAGAGCGAATCAAGTGCAGTGGAAACGCCACATAAGACTCCAGTTGAGGGTTCCATTTATACCTTTGAAGCCAAACTACCCCAAACATTTAAAGCATATCTTTCCCAATTAAATTTATTGTGATTGATCAGTTATCACGAGAAAATTTTATAAATATATACTTTTACACGACACATGGTAGAAGAATATAGGTAGACGCTTCGACACAGCTGCTGGGACAATGAACTGTCAAACCAATTTTGGAATCAAAGTTGTTGAATAAAAAATTATTCAAATTTTTAAATATTGTTAAAAAATACATATAACAACCTCCGATTGGCGTCGTGTAGGAAAACATATACAAATATACTTATTTTTGAAGAAATATTTAAACAATTGATATGTCAACAATGCTCCTAAGCGTTGATGCATCTACCTGTAGTTGTGTTCCAGTACTTTTTTAGTAGTAAAACTAGCAGAAGAGAGAACAGTTCGAAATGTCATTCTCATTTAGGTTTGCTCAAAAAATAAGGGAACGGAAAATTAGCAGAAATGCGATAAAATGTCATAATTCAAAATTCCAAAAGTAAACAGCCTAAATAGGACTGGTGAAACCTTACTGAAAAGAGCGCCAACATTTAAAAAATGAGTATTGAAGACGATAAGTTAAAATTAATAATTTATAATAATTTAATAATCTGATTCCTCATTCAGCCAGTCCTCTTCACTGCTGGAATCATCCAAAAGTAAATACATCAGTTGCTCCATATTTTCTCTTTTTGTTTTTTGCACGACAAATATTAGTTTTTCCTTTAGTTTTCAAGTTGATCATTTTCTTTATTGAAATGTATCAATACATTTTTCAACCTTGTTAGCCCTGCCAATTAAATGTCAAATTTACAATATGCACATTTCTGCTCGGCCAAATTCATGTAGCTAAAACAAGCAGAAATGTGCACCACTCAGCGCCATTTTTTTCTTGAGAGAGCTGCAAGTTTTGCTAGTTTTTGGAATACGGGAACGCGTTGTAGCAGAATTAGTGCTAATAAGTACTAATTTGCAGGTTCTGGAACACAACTTGTATTTTTCTACCATGTACACGACATGAACACAAACAATTAGATGTATTAAAAAATAGGCATCTGTTGAACGATTAATCTTACAACGCTCACAAATTGCACTCACACATACTCATTTTCAGGACACATCAGCGACCATCTGATAATCATATGGGTAAAAAATGAATTATTCTCAAGCACCCAAATAGAAATAGACAAACAAATAGGAATAAAACAAAACTCTGTAAAAATGTCTACAATTTTACATTGTGATTTTGAAGTGTTTGGAATCGTTCAAGGTAATTATAAAAAAATATAAAAACTAGCTGGCTTCATTACCATTAATGTTTCAAATTTTATTAGGAGTTTCTTTTAGAATGGTATGGTCTAACAAAAAGAATAAGGCAGTAAAGAATTGATGTAATTTATATATTATTAGTTTACCGAAAAGCAAGCGAAGAAATTGGGTGTTCGTGGTTGGTGTATGAATACAAGGGACGACACTGTAAAGGGCGAAATACAAGGTCCGCCAGAAGCCTTTAATCAAATGTAAGTAAGTTGATGTAAATCGTGTGTGCTGTCTTGCAAATAACTTTCTTTCCACAGGAAAATATGGCTAGAGAAAACGGGAAGTCCCACGAGTCGAATCGATAAGGCAATTTTTGGACAAATAAAGGAGATCGAAAGCTTCACTTTTGACAATTTTTCTATTAGATACTAGATAATGTTTATATAAAGTTGCACACAATTCTTGAAGAATATGCCAAAACAAGTTATGATTTAAAACAAAAAAAAAAAAAAAAAAATAATAATAATAATAATAAAATTATGAATGAAAATTGTATTTAATTAAAAATGAAAATAAATATTCTTACACCCTTCTTCATTTATAATTTTAATAATTGTTTATGAATAGAATTATTATGGCTTTCGAAATGGTTGCACAACTTTATTATTATTTATAATTTGAAATTCCCGGCAAAAACACAAAGAGAAAATTAAATTCTTATGCCATGTTTACGTTAGAACTTTTTGTAGGGTTAACCTTCTTTGAGAGGATTTATTTGAAGTAAAAGTAATGGATATGACAATTTAAATCCAAATCCAGTGGGTTAACCCTCATATATATAAACGTACTATTACTTTGGCAATAAAGCGTATTAATTTCAATATGCACACACTTACATGGTACAATAATTACAAGTTACGGCAGAATCATGGTTCATTAAGAAAGTTTGGTCAACTTAAAAAAAAAACTTGGAACACTGTGCTGGAGTCTTATAGTGTGAACTAGACTTTTAAGTGTGCAACAGTTGGTTCTGTTTAATTTTCATTTTTTAACAAAATTTTCATATTGAGGGAAACCACATTGCCAATACAATTTTATTCCAAAGTTGTACAATGTCTTGCATATTAACGTCGAAAGTATACACTTATGTTGCAACCGAATTTGAAAAATTTCAAATTATTGTATTTTTTATTTAAAACAATACACACACATACACAATATGTGTATTTGTTTTGACAGAATAAAGCTGGGAATACATAAAGCGCTTAAGCTGGAAATACATAAAGCGGATATTTGGCTGGCTTAAGTCATCGGCTGGCTTCTTCGGAAATGAACAAAGGAGCCTAGGGCCAAAATCGAACTAAGTCAACCTAAAACTCCTTTGTTCATCTACGAAGAAGCCAGCCGATGACTTAAGCCAGCCAGATAAGCCCTTTATGTATTCCCACCTTAAGCATATGATTGCATGACTTTACCTTCTTAATTCTACCATGCTTAATAAAATTAAAAACAAAATATTTTCAAATCAATGATTGAAAGAAAGGTATATTCGGGCCGCGCTTTAAATACATTAACCAGTTTTGCCATGGAATTGAAAGACTGAATTGTTTGGATCATATTTTTGAATGAAAATTTCAAATATTATATCCATGGCATAATTATTGAGCTGCTGTCATACGATAAGAATTTCAATTGTGTATGTTTTAACTGTCATTTTACATCTGACTCATCACCCTTATTATGGTTGGCGTTGTCGTAGACGTTTAAAGGGCTAAGTACATAAGAAGCTTGAAGTCATGGCTAGGCATATTTGTGACATTTCACAAAGGGATTCCAGAGCCGCACTAAAATCCAGCCGTCGTTTTCCATTATAATTTGACATTAAAATGCCTAGCCATGACTTCAAGCTTCTTATGTACTTAGCCCTTAAGTGTCGTAGACGTTGTCGTAGGCGTTGTCGTAACTAATTTTTTTGGTATTATGTACAATTTTCGAATACGTCTTTTTTGTGATAGATGTGAAAAAGCAGGGTGCTCTGGAATAACAAACATTTGTAGAATTTATGAGCTACCTGGGTAAAAAAATAAAATCGTCAGTTGAAGTAAAACGATTTTTTGTTAAATTAAATATAGAAATATGTTAAGTGTTGGCAATTTTTTATCTGAGGATGAAGATGAATATCTTCAAAATGATTTAAACGTAAGGCGAAAAATATTGCGGTAAGAGTCTAACATATTTTCCATGACTGATTCCCAGCAAGTAAAAAGTAAAATGGGAAAGAAGCTAAAATAAACAGTTTTTTCTTTAGATTCGTTAGTTACTTCAGGCTTAGTAAGGATGCATTCAATTATGTTTTGGCTCAAATCACTACAGATTTTCGTAGCCGTAGCCAAGCATACTAGCAGCAACGATTCGAATACTGGCTGAAGGAAGTTATCAAAAGGGCGCTGGTAATGATTTCCATGTCAGTTTATCACAGTCGTCTGTCAGCAAAGTGTTCCGCGAGTGCATAGAAGTATTGCATAATAAGCTGTGTCCAGATTGGATCTCTTTTCCCACTGCAGAAGAAGAGAAATATGAAATTAAGGAACATTTTTTGAACAATACTGGATTTCCTGGAGTGATTGGGTGTATAGATGGGACGCACATAAAAATTGTTGCGCTGAAAATGGAAGAGACTTTCAAATACCTGAACCGAAAAGGTTTCTATAGTCTTAATGTAACGGTGGTATGTTGGATAACTTATAAATAATGCAAATAGTTTTAGTCACTGTATTATTGTAGGTGTGTGATCACAAATTAAGAATTAGATATATAACGTCACACCATCATGGATTCGTTCACGATTCGTTGGTTCGGAATACAAGTGATTTGAAACAACACTTGAAAGAAAACTTTGAAAATGGCGAAAGAAATACATGGATATTAGGTATGTATATTAACTAAAATTAGTGATGCATTCTAAAAAGTTCGTTGTAGGTGACGCAGGATATCCATTGGAAAAATTTTTATTTAGATCTGCTGACGAAGGCTCACCAGAGTGTAGATTCAATTCAAAAACAAGAAATATAGTTGAACGAGCAATTGGTGTGTTGAAAAACAGATTTCGATGTATATTAGGAGCGAGACAATTGCATTACACCCCTGATATGTGTGGGAAAGCAACAGCAGTTTGTGCAGCATTAAGCTGGGAATACATAAAGCGCTTATTTGGCTGGCTTAAGTCATCGGCTGGCTTCTTCGGAAATGAACAAAAGAGCCTAGGGCCAAAATCGAACTAAGTCAACCTAAAACTCCTTTGTTCATCTACGAAGAAGCCAGCCGATGACTTAAGCCAGCCAAATATGCGCTTTATGTATTTCCAGCCTTACACAACACTTGCATACAATTCAAAATTGAAATGCCGATAGTTAACACAAGCCCCTACGTCATGTCAGATCCCAATGATGTTGAAATGAACGACCATTGATAAGATCATCAATAATACTATCTTTAAATATTTAAATCATTTTATTATTATCGTGTAAAAAATAAAATTAATTATTAATATTTAAATATAAAAGCTATGCTTCAAGTTATTTACATAAATTGTTTCACTGAAAACTACTCCTCATTTCTCGCAATAGTTCCTTTCTGAATTCCGTCTTATTTTCATATTCTTCTTTAAAAAGTTTTAATTTTTCTTCCCTTAACTTAACTTTTTTTTTTTTTGTTTTAACATTTCTTCATTCAGCTTGTAGTTTTTGCGTTGGTACCTTTCAATATTATTTAATGATCGTTTAACATCATTATATAGTTCTGTTTGCACCTTCAGTTGCTCTTCAAGAAGTCATATTTGTGGTCAGCTTGTTTTGTCTCTTTGAAGAAGTCGTTGGAAGCTCTTCCTGAACTTCATTTTGATGCGGGTTATTTGTGCTTACAGAGGGAAGCGTACAGACATCCTGGATGACCAAAGCCTGCTTCTGTTGCGTATTTCGGTGTAGAGTGTTTACACTTGGGGGAGTCAGTGTGCAGGGATTGTGGTTTTCTTTGTCTTCACTAATGTCAAATCCGTCAAAAACTTCCTCCTCAGTCTCCAGTTCAACAAGTAGTGGACAATGTAGAATTCCAATTGCTTGGTTTCCCGCATTTACAATTGTGTCCAATTGTAACAAGCGGGATGCTGCTTCTTCCGTGTCGCTTAAAATTAACTGCTTGAAGGGCCCTCCACCTGTAGCACGACATTCTGCCTTGTTATGAACTAGCTTTTTCCTTAAGTTGAATTTGTAGTCGGCCCAGACATCCATCCAGGCCTCGCCTGTTCGAACCGGCGGTCCTAGGATATTGAGTTTTGCCCCAATTTTATTCCATTCTTCCTTGATGTTAATTTTTTTTAAGCCTAATTTATATTAATTTGCAAGATCTGGATCATTTCGTTCAATTGTTTCTTCGTTGTGACTTTAAATCTAGAAAAAGCGAAATGTTAATACATGTGCACATGGTAAAATGAAGAGAAGGTAGGTCAACTTTGAAAAAATTACAAGTATAGAGGTCTACCTGTTTGGCTTGTAATGTCAGAATTACTATCAAAACAATAAAAAAGCAAACAACTTGTTGCATTGATTTTGAATAAATAATTTAAAACCGCGAAAACTGAATGAATGGTCAAGATTTCTTTTCAATATCATATTCTATATATCTCTTATGGTTTATTTCGCAACAAAAACTGTAGATTTTGTCGATGCATTCGTTGCAATAAGCATTTTAAAAACACCCGAATTTGAATATTTTCTGAACAATTTTTATTATTGATAAGAAGACACACACATAAGCAAATGAAGTTGACATATTAAGCCAGAAAAATTAAAAAAATTAAATCATATGGTAGTTCTGCCCTACCTTGAATTCATTGTACCATGGATGTGCATACATATGTTTTTGTAATGTTGATACATACTTCTTATTCAAATTCATTTTGTATATTATTTATTCTTTTGTAATCTCAATTGGGAAAAAACTTTTGTGTGTGTCGGCAACAAAGTCTTTAACGACTAATTTTGAAGGGTTTGTCGAATTAGAACGCGTCTTGTTGTACGATAATTGTAACAGAATTTCATGCAGAATTGTAATTTCTCGCATACGACGCACATCATACCAATTAGTCGTTACGACGCGCCAACTTGCAATTTTCGATACGACTACGGCAGCCGTAATAAGGGTGAATATTTACTAGCACACACTTGCTTAGGCTATTTTGTTTATTTTTTTAAACTATTGTGCTATATTGTATTTTCTAAAAAAAATAATTATTCTTGGATGAGTTTTTACTGCTAATTTTAATTATATATTTTTACACAAGAAACAAACAAAACTTTCGATTAAATTATATTTTCCGATGAAAATAGGGCCCGCTATGATCGAAAAAGTACATATGATCTTTACTCATGTATTTCACAATTGAAATGTCGTCCATGTATTCCATGTAGATGTGCAGCATCTACATATGGAAAATTTAAGACTAGATATGCAAAAACCTTGTTGTCTGATAGCAGTTTTACAAGGTAACTGCAAGTTCTGGCATGAGGTATACCAAAGATATCTCCTAAATACATTTTTTTTATTGTCCCTATTATGTCAAAACATATACAGAGTTTGTATATGTGAATTTTGTTTTGAATAAAAAAGAAAATTATTTCAAATTTAGATGCAACAGAAATGCATATTTTCCACGTTAACGGGCAACAAAATGTATAATTTTGGGATGAAACAATACAGTCCCTCTATCTTAGATTCAATTTTATGGAGAACATTTTGTGAAAAAATGTAAAGTAAACAAACCAATTGTTACATATGTTAAAGTCTATTTGACACTAGGTGAGAGTACATAAAAAGCTTTTTTGGCTGAAGTCATCGGCTGGCTTCTTCGTAGAGGAACAAAGGAGTTTTAGGTTGACTTAGTTCGATTTTGACCCTTTGCTCCTTTTTTCTTTTTTCGAATAATTCAGCCCATGACTTAAGTCAGTCAAAAAAGCGTTTTATGTATTCTCACCTTAGGTGAGAATACTGACTGTCTTAAGTCGTCGGCTGGCTTCTTCGGAAAATAACAAAGGAGCCTAGTGCCAAAATCGAACCAAGCCAAGGTAAAATGATACAAGTAACAGCGAGTGTTGTTGAACAACAAACGTAACAACAATTATTATGTGCCCAAAAAAAGAAAACAAAACAATTAATTTTCAATAAATTATTTTAATTTCAAATGTATTAAATTAAAATTAAATTAATTAATTAATTTCAAACATGTGGAATTTTATATTATTTCGCGTGGTACAATGCAATAAATTTAACCACATTTCAAATTAGCATCGCCAACTATGCATTTTCTCTACTTTACCTCATGGTAGAATAATATAGGTAACATCAAGTTTTGTTGTACAACAATCGTAACAACAAACACATACAAATTTGGTTTTGTAAGTAATAAAAGTGTCAGAAATATGTAAACCAAATAATTAAAACGAAAATGTACACCAAATAATTAATTTTCAATAAATTATTTTAATTTCCAATATATACATTTTTGGAATTTGGGTTATTAAATTTAAAATACAGAAGAATAGTTCCTCAATTATTTAGTTTGAATGCTTTCATATCATTCGCCTGAATGTATAGTTGTTAGCTGTTGGTCCTAATCTCTCAACACTTCAAGCAATCGCTAGAAAATCGTGGAAAAGGCAACATCTCTTTCACGTTGAAACCAAGCAGAATACATACATAAAGTTTTCTACATTTTGCAATTTTAGGAAACATAAAATATACGAATATATTATCTAACGTGGTGTCGATGTTCTTTAACTACAAAAAAAGTTTTCCGAACCATCGCCTTTGGCGTTTTGTTAAGTACAACGGCGTTTTTTTCTATTATTAGACGAAAAATATGTTCACATTGCCCTGCAGTAAAATTTTATATCAAAAAAGGGTATACCTATTGTATATCAAGAAATGGAATTAAATCACAAAACGTCATATCGAGTTTGACACTAGTATTACAGTAGAGTGAAATCAGCTGGGACTTGCTGTTACCTGTAATAATTATACCATGACTTTACCTCAAAATTCAATGCATAAAAAAACAGCTCCCACCTCTGATTCTGTGTAGCCAGCCGATGACTTAAGCCAGCCAAATATGCGCTTTATGTATTCTCACCCCTATATATTCTCATCTCAAGTCATCGGCTGGCTTCTTCGTAGAGGAACAAAATAGTTTTGGTTGATTTAGTTCGATGTTGGTTCGATGGCTTAAACCAATCAAACAAGTATTGTAGGTATTTTCACCTTAGGTCACATACCTGCTTCTTCGGAAAATAACAAAGGAGCGTAGGGCCAAAATCGAACTTATTTACCTTAAACTCCTTTATTCCTATACGAAGAAGTCAGCCAAATATCTGAAATTTTCCTTTGAACAATTTGGTCTTGGTTAACCTTGATATATATCGAATGTAAACGTACTTTTACAGCAGATTTTCAAAATCAGACGAAACGTCAGACGTACATTTACAAAAGATTTTAAAAATCAGACGAAATGTCAAAACTTGTTTACGTTTTGTTTGTTTACTTTTCGTACTATGATTCTGCCTCCTGCCTCCTTTTGATTCAGTCATGGGTCGTTATGAAGGACCGACTGATTTTCAAAATCATTCTAATTTTGAATAAATCATATTTGACGGGATCCTAATTAATCAGAATCATGTGACGGATACTGATTTTTATTACACGTTTAAAAGACACTGCACTATTTCTGATTTTAACTTTATTTTTTTGATTTTTTTGAACGTCTACGTCTTACAGACAAAATATCTTCTTGTGACGGTAAGTAAATAGACTTAATTGTTTTGTATTTTTCATACCAACTGATTTACTCCGAATGGTCATGTAAGTGTAATAAACATTTTAATAGAATTGTACTTGGTTTTGCACGACCACATTAAAGGTGGGAATACATAGAGCGCTGATTTGGCTTATATCATCGACTGGCTTCTTCGGAAATGAACAAAGGAGCCTAGGGCCAAAATCGAACTAAGTCAACCTAAAACTCCTTTGTTCCTCTTTGACTTAATCCAGCCTAATATGCGCTTTATGTATTCCCACCCTAAAAGACCGTGTCTAATGTAAGTTCCCTTGGTATGTAAATAAAACCAGTAGTTGAATCCATGGTACAATGATATCAAGGTAGGGCTATGATACCATATGATTTCAATTTTTTTATTTTCTTGGCTTAATATGTCATATTTATTTGTTTATGTATGTGTTTTCTTTTCAATAACAAAAAAATTGTTCAGAAAACATTGAAATTCGGGTGTTTTCAAAATGTTTATTTCAACGTATGCATCGACAAAATCTAGGGTTTTTGTAGCGAAATAATCCCTTAGAGATATATAGTACATAATTTTGAAAAGAAGTGTTGACCTTTCATTCAGTTATCGCGGTTTTCAATTATTTATTCAAAATAAATGCAACAAGTTGTTTAATTTTTTATTGTTTTGATATTAATTCTGACATTACAAGCCAAACAGGTAGACCTCTATACTTGCAATTTTTTCAAAGTTGGCCTACCTTCTCTTCATTGTACCATGGTTGAATCCTACCTTCTCTTCATTGTACCATGGTTGAATCAGTGTTTGAAATTGCTGGCAACTTTTTATAATCTTCGAGATTTACTACGCTCTGGCTGCGCAAAGGCAAAAATGAAAACTGTTGCTGCGATAATTTGAACATAACCTGTCTTTGACAGTGATATATACAAATTAAAGCTCATCTAGATAAAGATTTCACAACCAAAGCTTTCGTTTTTGAAACAAACAAACTAAATAATAGCATCATATTTTTGAATTTACATTAAATAAAACACTGCAATTGTACTTTAAACAAGTCGAAGCCAATCATAACAGACAGATCGGCGACGAAAATTAATCGACAGCAGCGGCCGTCGTTGCAGTCAATTTATCTTTTACTTTGCCTTCTAGTTGGTGGTCGCAAATATTTTTTTCGTGTAAAAAAGTAGTGTATATATTTGTTTAACTGGATTTTTGAGCGATATATGTCTAAAATGGGATCCCAGGAAAGTCCTCCACTTGAAATAATAGCCTAAAATATAAACTTCAAATGGATTTTTAAGATTGGATGACGCTCTTAAAAAAGGGGTGGAAATTTGTGGGTGGTCGGCCAAAAAAGGAATGAATGAATTGCTGGATGGATTGGTGGACTTCATATAAAGAAATAAGTGTTATTATAATCATCCATCGCTTTAAGACACAAAGGGGTTAAAAATTGTAAGGATGGGCACAATAGCATCTGTTCTACAGTGGCAATGCACAAATTGCAATATTATCAATCCGACGGAATCCCTAAAATGTCTAAACTGTGGTTCAATGCGCAAGGTGTGTGATGGCACTCTAAAAAATAGCGACAATACAAATACCGATTTGGGCAGTAAACATTCTACGGGAGGAGCAAACAGTGCCAAAGGACCAACGACACCGGGAGACAACAAGTCGCCATCAACATTCTCTAGCAATCAACAAACACAGATACAATATCAAAATCCCAGCCCGGTTCCACAACAAACTGCAATACAGCAACCACTTGATACTGATCGTGAGGACACTCAGGCCAACAGGTTTGTATCCTCTTAAAATTAGGGAACATATTAATCTGTGGACAATATTCCTCCTGTATAGGCGCCCATTTTCATTTGATATTTTGTCTTTTACATTGTCTAACATATGTGTGTCGTCCTTTGTCCATATGTGTGAGAGAGTAATGTTTTGTGTGCAGTTCTCTCTGTTTGTATTGCTTTGTCCTCGTCGTTGGGGACGACTCGTGGCTCTCGTTTAAGTAATGTGAAAAATCGATTCGAGTGCCAACAAACCTTTTTGTTTACGAGACTCAAGACTGTTATTGATTTTTGTTCTTGTTGGGTAGACAACAACAAAAGCTATTATACGAACAGAAATGTCAAAACGACTCTGCAAAGGACAGAAGCAAAAGAAAACAGAAAACCAAATTTAAGTTTTAAATCGTCAGGCATGCTTGCTGGTTGGTCGGTCGGTCCGTGCGTACATGTTTTTTTCATTTGGTTTCACAATGGTGAGCTATTTTCAATTGATCAGTTTCAGTTAAAATACTATAGATAATATTTTGTAATCAATTAAAGGTGTATAAAAAATAATATATAGTGTAGATTGAAAAATGTTACCACAGTCAGTGTGTCATGGTGTCAGGTGTTCTCCTGAATTGTTACAAATGCTCAAGCCAACAGTAATACTTTCAAAACAATAACACAATAATTTGTTTGCATAACTCCAGCACAATTGTAAAAGAGAATTCCACGAACATTCATAAAAATATGTTGCAACTAGTACTTATTTTGCAAGCTAAATAAATGTACTCGGTAGGTCGTTAAAGTCAAGTGTAGTGCGTTAACAACAAATGTCCTTGAATTTTCACGTCATCATTTGTTAGATGTTTTGGGAAAACCCAATTAAAAATTTTGCAAACATAATGCAACGAATTGCCTCGACAATATTTTAATCTGATAAATATTTACCTATATCCCTGGAAAATTGTGAGTATGTAAATACCATTATAAATTACTTGCATTGGAGTCATAACTCACATATGTATGGTACATAGGTATCAATGTATATACTTATGTATGTCTGATGTTGTGTGTATAATAAGCACTATTGAATAGACTTCTTTTATCTTCGTGTTGGAGCTATTATATAAATGACTGACATACTTTTTTTCCTGTTAATATTAACTCCGTTCCTTCACGTGTACGAATCTTCAAGGTTTGCAAGTTTTTACTCGAAGCGGGTTTCTTTACATCAATAGGTGAGCAAACACTGAGGAGTCACCGCTTTTGCTTCTTTTGCCATTTTAACCATTTAAAGTGAAGGAGCAGAGCGATTGCTCTAAAGTTCATGATATTAAATATGCATTTAATGCAGACCAAACTCTCTTGTAAAAGTAAGGCTGAACTTCTCTATATTAATAGTTGCTTCGGGTGTATTAAAAATGATTTAAAATAAAGTCCTGAAAGTTCCATTTCACAATTTGTTTAAGGGATTATAACACTACGATTGTGTTATAGCTATTCATAACATGTTCTAATTACACATATTTTTATTCCATCCACCATTCAATGGATGGTATATGAGCTTTGCCATTCCGTTTCTAACTCCTCGAAATACTCATGATAGACCCTACAATGTTATATGTTCTGGATAAGTAAAAAATTCTAACTCGATTTAGAGGTATCCTTCTGTCTATTTGTCTGCATGTTGTAATTACGTATTCTTTCGAACGAATTGAGATAGGAGGCTAAAATTTTGCACTCGTTTGTATTTTGCCAGTTGGCATGGATCGTGTCGCTCCACGACATTATTCACCGGAATTTTTTCGAATTTCGTATTTGAAGATCTTAATGGGTACTATAGCCTATGACAAAAAATTACTTGTGCAAGTTCACGTCTTCGTATAGCTCGAGTTTCATTTAAGCAGTATTTTTCGGAATTTTTTGAAATTTTTAAGTTCTTTCCAAATGGTAGAAGGTAAATGGTAAAAGATCGACACGGCCGATCTTAACTGCTTTTTACCTGTTAATGCTGTGAAGGTTTCGAGTTTCAAGAGATACATAGTTTTTGTGTGAGCGATCTGCATTATTTTACTTTTTTAGGACGAATATGAGTAGCTCTCCGAACAAGGACGTGATACAAATCGGTTGGAATCCCTGTTAATTCATAAAGAACTTTAATTTGAGAATTATTTTTTATTATTTCTTTATTGTCATCTCTTTCTCATTCTCTGTAAGATAATGTTTCGTTCAGAATTCTGAACTAAACTATCCCAAACCTAGTTATTTGACTTCACAGTTTATATAAAATTTCCTAAAATTTTTTTAATGTGATATTTTACAATTTTAATATGGAACTCACAAATAACACACCTAACAGAACATTTCCCAAAAAATATATCAAATTTTTTATAGAAAGTTTTTCTTCTACTCCTCGTTTATTTTCTTATCTATTGAAAATTGTTATCAAAATACGACATAAGCAAATAGTAGGGGTATTAAATTATAATTGGAATGTGCATACATACACATTATAATGGAGTAGTGAATTGTCACAGAAGTCTGTTCTTGTTTAAAAAGTATTGGCCTCGGTTATGATACGTAAATGGTTTTTTAAACATTCGATTGATTTTAATAGTTGTTACTTTCTTGTCTAGCATTTGTGAATTTTCCAAATAAAAAGGCGTTTCAGTAAAGGTTCCGTTTGTGGATGTGGGTTACATAGCTTGCTCTTTATTTTAGGGTGAATTTCTATTTTTCAGAATTTTTTCTTTTTATTTGATTTGGTTCACGTTAACATATATTTTATTATGTGTGTACGTAGGCCATATATAAATGTATTTAATATAATATATATATTAAACATTAACATCAAATTAAATTTCAGGACGGAATACAAACGCGTCTATAAATCATTACTTAGAGGTTGCCTGAAGCGACCGCAACGTAATCAACAAAATTTGCCGGCAAACTGCATTGACTGTGAAAATACTAGAAAATACGTTAAAAATTCCATTGAACTGTTTCATCATTTTTCGAATCCTTCCCTCAATCGTCGTTGGATTTGCGATAAATGTGACACGGACAACAATTCGGTAACTTGGCACTGCTTGATCTGCGATACGGTTAGCTATTTAGCGCCCATATATAAGGAAACTCTTAACCATCGAAAGTTGCCAAATTGTAAGCAATCAAGTTTCGATAGTGGTCAAAATCTCGACGGAAAATCAAAGCGAAATGGCAAAAGGGCGCCATATTTTCGTAGAACACAAAGCTTAACATCGGAAAAGGCATTTTCCTGCCGCAGTTGTCACATATGCTTTGTTAATACTCGCAAAGATATATTCAACTTACCAGAAACATTTATGCATAAATACTCTTCCGCCAGTGGAGCTTCGAGCTCGAATGAATTATTTGGTGAGCAAGTTTATGCATATTTACACTTTGTACTTTGGTGTTCTTTTCGTTGATTTTATTATTTTTGTCTTTGTTTTGCTTTTTGTGCTTTCTTCCGTTAATATATAAGTTTGTATTATTTTGAGTTGTATGGATGTATATAAAACAAAAATACTTTCTAAAAAGTCTTAATTCTATAACCACTTCATGACTTTTCGACATTATCCTTCCAATTAGAGAAATGTTAGTTAGTACCTTGATCATTGCTTTCAAGTAAGAATTATGAAAAGTAGAACTGTTAGAAAACCCAAATTGAAATTACCTCCTTGTATATTCCCTCTTTTATTTATGTTGTTTAATTAATGTCAGTTAGTCAGTCAATATTGAGTCATTAGAATTCGATAATCATAACTGATTGATGGTATTCAAGAGATAACGAACGTAATTTGGATAGCCCACCGCTAAATAAAAAATTGTATTGTTACTGTAATAGTGTAATTAACTCGAGAATACATTCAACAATCGTATCATGTAAAGCTCATTTTATTAGCTTCCTGCGTACTGTTTATTTTATTAAATTGAAACATTGATGAATTCGGCGGCGATTGTAGAGTTCCAAAGGGGCTAAAAAGTAATTTACATTGTGGTAGGAAGTTGAATGGCATTTTTTTTGTTTGGTATTAAAATGTCTATGTCATTTCTTTTAGTAACAAGAAAGCAAAAATTTTTATAAAATAAAACGTTTTTGTTGGTAAAAAATGTCATCGCTGTTCTAAAACGTTTTTACCAGTCAAACACTCTGCGAATACTCCTTCCATTATATACTAATGTCCTTTGGTAAAATCGGATATGTTGAAATGTAACAACCGATATAACATATGACACGACCGGTATCAAATTTGGGCAAGGCCTGTATATGGTCGCCCAAGAAGACTAGTTTTTGCACTATTGTGATTTGACTCTTTTTGAATTTCAAATCCCAAAATGTCTTTTGAGAGAAAAGTTAGTTGTCATATGGGCTTACAGGCCGACTTTATTATGTAGGTCATGAATTGGGGCAAAATAGGTTTGCACATGGTACAACAAAAGGTAAGGTAAAGCTATGGTAGAATTACAAGGTTACCCTATCAAGACAGCTGGTGGCAACTTAATATGATTGTAATTTGAATTCGCCACATATATGCGTATAAAATTTTTTTTGAACGATTTGAAAATGTATATAAAGCAAATGAGAGTTAATCGAGAAAATCTCTGAGACCAGAGCGCGGAAAATGTAAAACAATTTGCATAATTCTGCTGAAAATGCGACTGAAACGTTAGTAACTGAAATTAAAAATCTTCGTTATTCTTTTTTAAGTATAAAAATCGAACTCCCACATGCCTTCATTAAACTATTAACATTATGCGGTTTGAATGTTTTAAATAAATGACTAAAATGCAATCGGAATACAATTTTATTTGGGATTCTAGTTTTGTATAAAAACCTTTACAGTTTGATACAAACACGTTTGGAAATTAACCTAAGGCATGTGTTAGCCAAAACTTTGCTCAATTTTGATGCGACTCCGTTTCAATATTTGTTGAATCCAAAATTAGCGACACAAGCGGCCATGTTTACAACACATTGTGAGACGTAACCTGTTTCTACTGATACAAAGATCCTCGAATCCCCCGATAGTATTCAACAATCTTCAAAGACATTCCTTTAACGTTTATGTAAAGCGCAGAACTGCCAGTGAAATACTCCCGCGTTGTGTAGCTTGTCAAAATTTTGATTGCACTAAATATTCCTTGTTTAAATGATAGGTAGCTAAAATTGGAATTGTATTTGACAAAGACAATTTATAGCTGATCTGCAAAGAGGGGTGTAAAATAAGTTTGCAATGATCTTAAGATATCCATGCACATTAATACCTAGGGAAGTCGGAGAGCTATTTTAAAAATGATACGCACAGCGTCGATAGAGTCCATTAAAATCTTTTATTTCAATTTGAGAACCGTGTAAAATAAAAATTTTAATAAAAGAAAACAAAATTGTTCATGTTACAAAATTCAATGTTCTGATTGGTGCAAACCAAACCAGTTTGTCTCAAATTTGATGTGTCAAAAAAATCGTTTTGCATACAATTTTGACATATGAAGTTTCCAAAAAAGTAGCCTTGTCGTAATTTTCGCTTTTATTGCTACCTGCCATTTCTACCATGAGTAGAACGAGACAACTCTAGTTTAGATTTTCGGGTCAAAAATCTGGGATCCTGGGGCCGTCCCCCCAATCGGGGAGTTTGTACTAAACTGGAGTTGTTCCGTTTTACCCATGGTAGAAATACCAGGTAGCAACATGGGCGAAAATTACGACAAAGCTTGTTTTTTGGAAACTTCATATGTAAAAATTGCCATTTTTGTGTTGTTTTTGTTGTTTTAAAAAATAAAAATAAATTATTTTCAAAGTCAATGATTGGAAGAAACGTAGATTGCGGAATTTGCCATTAAAGAGTTTAGACCATATTTTTGAAAGAAAATCCAGACATTTCATTAATTCCTGGTGTTTGAGGAAATATATCAAATTAATGACAACAACTTGTCGCATATAATTTTGAATAGTTCTGATAGGAAGCGGGCATAGCCTCAGTGCTGTATTTCCGTAGTTTTACGAATCTTTTTTACCTCCTTATTGCACCATGGATTTAAGGTGAGAATACATAAAACGCTTTTTTGACTGGCTTAAGTCTTAGACTGGCTTCTTCGTAAAGAACAGAGGACACTTGGGCAACAAGTATGAATAACGGGCCAAAATTGAACTAAGTCAAACTTTGTTCTTTTACGAAGAATCCAACCGATGACTTAAGCCAGTCAAAAAATCTGTTTATGTACTCTCACCTTTACCTTAATATTTTTCGAGACATTTAGAAAGTATCAATTTGATATAAAAAATCGTCAGTTTTATATGAAAACTTACTGCAATAGTTATATTTTATTTTTAACAAATTTTTGTATGTTGAAAAGTCAAGAACAATTTCATGTCTCTCCCCGCATTCGATTGGAACGAAAAGTCTATATATTATTGACAAATTATAATAAATGTGCTTCTAAAACGACATGCATATTTAAGGTGAGAATACATAAAACGCTTCTTAAAAGAACAAAGGAGCTTTATGTTGACTTCGTTCAATTTCGGCTCATAATTTAAGCTTGTTAACCCTAAAGGTGGAAGTATATAAATAGCTTTTTTGACTGGCTTAAATCATCGGCTGGCTTCTCCGTAAAAGAACAAAGGAGCCTGGGCCAAAATCGAAATAAGTCAACCTAGAACTCCTTTGTTCCCCTACGAAAAACCCAACCGATGACGTTTTATGTATTCTCACCTTTAAGGTGTCATCGGCTGGCTTCTTCGGAAAGAACAAAGGAGCCATGGTAGAAGAATACAGGTAGACACATCGACTGCTCACCTTTATGCAAGCCACACACGATACAACAGGTTGTACAACTTGAAGAGGTTGTATCGTTTCAAAAAATCAAAATATTTTGATATTTTTCATGTTGTAGCAACCGATTGTAACGTTTGTGGGCATGTCGCATACAATTTCATCTTGTGTTTATTTTTGAAGAGGCAGCACCATTGTTTCGCAAATCAAAACAATACGAAATTCAATCAAATGTGTGAGCACCATTGTTTCGCAAATCAAAACAATACGAAATTCAATCAAATGTGTGATTTTAATGTATATATAAAGTTGAATTTCAATTTACAAAGTGGAATTTCAAATATTAATAATAATTTATAATAAATTATAGAGCATGAATTTTTTCCGGTATCATCTTAACTCAAATAAACTCTACAAAAAGTGAAGTTGTACAAAGAGGTTGTACACTAAGTTTTATCGTTTGTGATCGAAACACACAATTTGAGTACTCTCCAAGCTGTACAACCAGTTGTATCGTGTGTGGCTTGCATTAACATTTAAATTTGAAACTTAACATGGTCTACACAAGGTCGGCCAAGGAGACTACGTTTGACAACAATTTTACAATAAACTTAATACTTTTTGCACTATTGTGATATGACTCTCTTTGAATTTTTAAATCACAATGTGTCTTTGTCCGATCTTATGTAGGCCACGAATCTCTTAATCCAAGATAATTGCAAACAAGCATGAAGAGAAGAAAGAAACACAGCAATAAAGCATAACAATTGTTTGTTTTCAAATTTTTGATGTTTCGTTGTTATATTCCAACGTTTTCTTTCATTGAATTTTTCCTTTGAGTAATTACCTATTTTGAATTCCTTAATACTTTCTAAGAGTCTTTAACTTTTTTACTTTAATTCTTGTATGTGCTGAATTTTTATTTCATAGAAAACCACAAAAAATAGACATGCCAATTATTGTTGTAATTTTTTAACACTCTAGGAAGAACATTTGAACAACTGCCACCATTACAACAGCAATCATCAAGACGTTTAAATCAACTGGTAGGCGGTAAGGACACAATTTGTCGAAAGCATAACCAAACCCAGAATCAGAATCGTGAGCCAAAGTGTAATTTTACTATAACAACACTGTCGCGAACAAATAAAGTAGATGATTCCAGCAAGAAGTTTACCATTCCGCGCAACAGTGTATTCATTGCAGTCAATGATTGCTGGGCCACACAAGAATCCAACACTACTGCTGCCGCTCATCATCAGCCAACAATCGATGTCGGCGGAAACGGTGTTAGTGGTGGTGGTGGTGGACTAGGAAGCGATGAACGGCAGAGATATCGCCAGCCGGTAATGAAGGCTGAATCCCTGCCCCAATATTGCGATAGAAGCGACAGCATTGAACGTAAGCCCGTTCAACGACGAAGTTCCAATGAGACCGCCACCACAGGAATATGCTATGCCACATTTAGCAAGGGAATGTACAAGTCACAACATATATATGAAAATGATTGCATTATACAAAGACCCTCGATTGCTAGTCGAGGGGCGGGTGAGATTGCTGCTGATACCGACGATGATACAACTGCCACAAGTACTGCTGCACCAAACCATCCCCTCTATGCTGTGGTCAATAAGAATAACAAATCAAAAAATAAGAATTCAAATGAATTAGCTGCTGGTATAGCTGTACAACAACAGCAGCACACTTTAGCCGAACTGCAAGCTAAGGCTGTAGCAACGGCCACTACGGCTATAACGACGCATTTATTGAATAATAACAACCATAACTTTAACAGTGCCCATAATGGCAGTGGTAATGTGAAGTTAAGAGTATCTACCAGCCACACTTCCAGCTCTTCGAATTCTTCCTCTTGCAGTGCATCTGACATCATGGGTAATATGTTGCAGGCTGAAGCAACAATTTTGGATGCAAGTGGCAGTAGTGGTGCAATAGGTGGTGGTGCTCTACGGTTAGATCATCATACCCATCACAACCAAGGACAGGCAGTCAACAAAGCAGGCCCGCACCCACATGCCGCGAATAAATTTGACCCAATATTGACGACAACGACAATTACCGCAGATGCGTTGAAAGGCGATAGCAATGCTGAACATTCCATATACGCAAAAGTGTGGAAGGGTCCCCGTAAGACCAGTGAATCTAAAATGTATGCCATAATGTGTGATTATATTGAAATAACGTATTAACTCCTTTAGTTTTATTTTTCTTATTTTACCTCACTCAAAGAAGGGACACAAATAAAACGAACTATTAACTTGTTTGAATATTTTGTTATTTTTATTGTTTTACTTACTTTTAACACAAACACACATACATCAACCCAAAAATAACTTTCACATAACTGGCTATTGTGTTTATTAGTTCCAACCGCAATTCCCGTAGTATTTATTAACATACGCCACTACTGGCAATCTTCTTATTGATAATTGAAACTATTATTTCTAGATCCAATGTCCCAGCAACTTCTGTTCGTGGTGCAGATAGAGTAGGCACACCAATGGCAGCTACACGTACTGACAATAACTCAATTCCAAATTCCCGAAGAATGTGGACTTGTACAAACTGTTCCTATGCATACAACCGTATGTGGACTGAGCGTTGCGAAATCTGTGAAAATCTGCGCACTCAACCATCCTTGACACAGCCTAATTTAATAACTGTTACCAAAACTGATATTCATGCGACTGGTGAGTAATTCTTAGCATTTTCGTGTAGAAGAGGCTTCATATATATTAACAACTGAATTTTTGCAAACTCTGTTTTCTGTCATCTATTCGAGTTATAAACTCCTGGAAGCAGATGATACATTTTCAAACTCAGGAAGATCGTTTGATATTACCATAGTTTATTAAAAAAAATACAAATCTCCCAGAAACAAACTTCCATCTTCCATAAACCGCTTTGGCGTAATATTGTGTTTCCATTTTAGTATTATGTATCGATTAGTTTTATGCAGATTTCAATTTGTTTTAACTTTTTTTATTTGACTTTAAATGTCTTGTAAAAACTTTTCTAACTTTTTTTGTAGATAATTTACCAAGATCTAATGACCCAATTACAACATGGACTTGCAAAAAATGTACCCTGGTCAATTCCATCAAAGATCATGCCTGTGTTGTTTGCGGAGGATCAAAGTTGAAAAGCATATCCTCTGTAGAGGATATGACACTACGTAAGGGAGAATTTTGGACTTGTTCACAATGTACGTTGAAAAACTCACTGGCAACGGGAGTGTGTAGTGCTTGCAAGGCTGTTCGAACACTGCCAATCGAAAGTGACCGAGATCGTATGGTGTGTCCAATTCCCGAAGGTAATTTTTATGTGATTTTTTTCGATTTTTAATTCAACTATAATTTATCATTTTTCAGAAATTCATCGCAGTGTTAATCACAGTGGAGGTAGTAGTGTATTCATTCCTGATGCAATATCACCTGGTGGTGTGGGTCCACACCACCGAACATCGGCGACAAATGTAACACCAACAACAAATTTGCAACTTCCGTCAATACGCACTTCGAGAAGCCCTTCTCCGCGACAAAATCGTTCCTCATCTGGGGCCATTCCGAAGCGGCATAGTACCGGCGGTTCGGGTGGTATCATATCGCGCAATAGCACTGTTGTGGCTTCCTCTAGCAACAATATCATCAGCAGTACAAGTCAACAAATATCTCAAAATCGTCATAGTTCGAGTGGAGCCGCTGGTGGGGCCATAAAAACATGGCAATGTCCTGCATGCACCTACGATAATTGTTCAGCGTCGGTCGTCTGTGAAATGTGTTCTAGTCCCCGTGGTTTAGTGAATAACATAACAAAAATGGCACTGCTGCATAAAACAAATCGACATTCTGCTGAACTGCAACAGGAGAGCAAGTTAATGGAAAACTTGCGGCGAATAGAGGAGGCCGAGGCATTGCATAAATGGGAAAATATAATTCAGTACTGCCGCGACAATAATGAACTGTTTGTTGATGATTCTTTTCCTCCGGCGCCGAAAAGTCTCTACTATAATCCACAACAGAGTTTGGCAGAAGGAAATCCTGTTGTACAGTGGCGAAGGCCACATGAAATCAATTGCGATGGAGGTGCCTTTCCTCCGTGGGCAGTATTCCGTACACCATTACCTTCAGATATATGTCAGGGTGTTTTGGGTAATTGTTGGCTGTTGAGCGCTCTTGCCGTACTTGCCGAACGGGAAGATCTCGTTAGAGAAGTTTTGGTTACCAAGGAGATTTGTCCCCAGGGAGCGTATCAAGTTCGACTGTGTAAAGATGGGAAGTGGACTACGGTATTAGTAGATGATTTGTTGCCATGCGACAAACGCGGTCATCTAGTTTATTCTCAAGCCAAACGAAAACAACTGTGGGTCCCTCTTATTGAGAAGGCTGTGGCCAAAATCCACGGATGCTACGAAGCTTTAGTTTCCGGTAGAGCCATTGAGGGTTTAGCGACGTTAACAGGTGCACCTTGCGAAAGTATACCGCTGCAGGCAAGCTCTTTACCAATGCCCAGTGAGGATGAACTCGACAAAGACCTCATTTGGGCCCAGCTTTTGAGTTCAAGAGGTGTACGTTTCCTAATGGGTGCCAGCTGTGGTGGAGGTAATATGAAAGTCGATGAGGACGAATATCATAGAAAAGGTCTGCGACCACGACACGCCTATTCAGTTCTGGACGTTAAAGATATACACGGGCATCGACTTTTAAAATTGCGAAATCCATGGGGACACTTTTCATGGCGTGGAGATTGGTCCGACGATTCAGACCTATGGACAGATGAGCTTCGTGAGGCGTTAATGCCCCACGGAGCCTCAGAAGGCGTTTTCTGGATATCCTTTGAAGACGTTCTAAATTACTTTGACTGCATAGACATCTGTAAAGTACGCTCGGGATGGAATGAAGTTCGTCTAAAGGTAAGTTATAAAGCAGAATACAACGTCCATTTTTCAAGAGTTTGTCTTTCTTCAGGGTACTCTTCAGCCGTTGTGTTCCATGTCCTGTGTGCTCCTTACCGTTCTGGAACCAACGGAAGCCGAATTCACACTATTTCAAGAGGGCCAAAGAAATTCGGAGAAATCTCAACGTTCACAGCTAGACTTGTGTGTGGTCATTTTCCGCACACGTTCTCCAGCATCTCCAGAAATTGGACGCCTAGTGGAACACAGTAAACGACAGGTAATTTGCTGAGTTAATTTTTCGATCTATGGCACAACTAACACCAAATTTCTCCTGTACAGGTTCGCGGATTTGTGGGCTGCCACAAAATGTTGGAGCGTGATATTTATTTACTAGTTTGTTTAGCATTTAATCATTGGCATACTGGTATCGAGGATCCCCACCAATATCCTCGTTGTATTTTAGCCATTCATAGCTCGAAACGTTTACTTGTTGAACAGATAACACCCCCACCACATCTCTTAGCGGATGCCATCATCAGTTTGACGCTAACCAAAGGACAACGCCACGAAGGCAGAGAAGGCATGACTGCTTATTATTTAACCAAGGTAGATAATTTCATTTAAAGCGATAATTACCACTAAAATGCTTCCGTTGTTTCCTTTAAGGGATGGGCTGGCTTGGTAGTAATGGTTGAAAATCGACATGAAAATAAATGGATCCATGTCAAATGCGACTGCCAGGAGAGCTACAATGTTGTTTCCACCAGAGGTGAATTGAAAACTGTCGACTCTGTTCCGCCACTTCAAAGGTAACATACATGCATTTGGATGTAGTACTGATTTTTGGAGTTTCAATCCGTCTCTATTTTTAGGCAAGTCATTATAGTTCTAACACAGCTGGAAGGTAGTGGAGGATTTAGTATTGCCCACCGTCTAACACATCGTTTGGCAAATTCTAGAGGACTACATGACTGGGGTCCTCCGGGTGCAACGCATTGTCCACCAATTGAAAATGTGCACGGTCTGCATGCCCCACGTTTGATCACATAAGGCGTTAGCTCACTCCACTTCAGTTGACATTATTTCACAACATCTAGTCATTAAATACCATTGCTCACATCACCCCATATCCCTCCCGCCCATTTCCACTCATCAACAATTTTTGCAAGAATAACCAAAAACCAAACTGAACAACCAATTAATTAGTGTATGTATTTGATTATATTTATTATTAAATGTAGGTATATTACGCTCTACGGTATGATTATTATTTAAAAATGTTTTAGTTCATCTAACTATTAATAAAGAAAGTTGTAAGTACATTATCTTAAGTACGCATTTTACAAATTAAGAATGGATATGTGTGTTCAATAGAAGAGTTGTAGTGATTAGTGTTGTTCAAGAATATGCTGAGCAACGGATCGCTCTCTACGTGAGTCGGTCTTTCTATCCACAGAATCCAAAACTGCAAACTTTTACAAAATTATGGATATAAACCATCGACTGTGAACAATTCATATAATTTGATGCATGTATCATATCTTCCCAATGCGACAGATGTTATGCCAAAGTTTGCCTATAAATTTCATTCTCTAGATGCAATTATGAATCGCCTATGTAAAAATAAAGGGGTAAAAGTTTTAAGTTACATGCGAATACCTTGATATTTTTCAAAATTATTTACATTTCAATACGGCTCTCCTTTAAATTGTGCTACTATTTTGTGTAAAGGAACACACACGATACAACATTGCGGTACAACTTCACTGTTCATAGATTTTAATATATTTATTTATTTTTTATTATAAAATATTATAAATTATTTTTATTACTTATTATTACTTTATTACTTTTGCAATTCTATTATTATTACTTTTTGCAATTTCATTTTACAATATTATAATAGTCATTAAAATCACACATTTGATCGATTTTTTTTTGTTGTTTTGATGTGCGAAACAATGGTGTTGCCCCTTCAAAAATAAACACAGAATGATATTGTATTCGACATGCCCATAAACGTTACAATCGGTTGATACAACATGCTAAGTATCAAAAATTGTTGATTTTTTGTACAATTGGGACACAACTTTGTACAACCGGCCCATAAACGAAACAGACTTGAATACAACCTCTCCAAGTTGTACAACCAGTTGTATCGTGTGTGGTTTGCTTTAGTCTTTTCTAGCTTTCAATTTTTTGCGTGTAAAATTAATATTTTAAATTAATACTGCAAAAGAAAACAAGATCTGACCTTAAGCATGGTACAATAAAAAGGTAAGGTAGAGCTTCCAGCTGATTACATTTTTTTCTAAGTGTGCCCGAATTCTGCCAATTTTGGGTATATATTTATTGCTTTGAAACATAAAAAAGCCGGATGGAAAGTCTAATCAACAATCGAACCATAATGTTGTGTTCTTTTCTCGCCTTCGTACAATTGATCATTCGGGCCTTCACTTTTCTTAAAGTGAAAAGAACTAGCGACAAAAACAATTGGTTTTAGTTATCCACCACCTGTGGTAAGAAACTTAAAAAAAACAAAAAGGTAGCTGTTCTCCAAAAAAGTTGATTATTGCTGAAAAAGTCCATCCAGGGGACTAAATAAAACAACAAAAAGTAATTGACGCAAAATAAAAAAAGCCATAGAACCAATGTTAAAAAATATATACACATACAAAAAAGACCCACGTGGCATATTCAAGAAAAATAACTGAATAAGGGAAAAAAAAGTCCCAAATAAAAAAAAAATTAAAAGAGTCCTACCACAAAATTTAAAATTAAATAAAAATATATTAAATTTAAAATGTATAAATATATAGACAAAGCTGTCACAACTTTGACAGACTAGTTCGTGGCGTTAACGTCAACTTCAAAGGGTGAAACACGTCGTAGCATTGAAAGTAGAAAATACATATTACCGGAGATTTTGGGAATATGTTCCCGCCGGGAAGTTCACTATTTGCATGATAGCGGCCATGGTAGTATTAAGGAGGTAAAGTCATGCAATCATATGTTTAACATTTTTTCAAAATTATTCATTGAACAACATTTCATTGTCAAAATTTGTATTTATAAATCGATTGTACATACACAAATCAGAGGTGGGAACCTGTTTATTGTGTAGTGAAATAATGCAGAAAATGCGGAGATGAAATGAAATGACTTTACCTTCTTAATTTTACCATGATAGCGGCCAACATATACAAAATTATACATCACCAAGAAGTTTTAAGACTTGAGAGATGAAACCGGCTGATAAAAATGGTGGTAGCGTTAAGAGAAGCTGAATCAAGAATTGGAGTCGATTCTTGAAAGCGGTTACAAAGGATGAATTTTATAATGTATTAGCTGGTCCGGTCCGCGTTGCCGGTCCGTAGTTTTTGTCTATTATGCATATTTGTCAAAGCATAATTATTCACAAAATTTGTAAATAGTCAAAGATGGGAAATAATTTTATTTGCCATTTAAATTGTAAGTTGGAGACCCCATAAAGTCCATATTTTTCATCATAGTATAATTCAATGACAATTCAACAAATATTCGGTCCCATGCAACTTTCTTATATTTGTAATTTGTTCATGTTTTCACAATTTATTTCATATAGATGTACATCCCAAATCTTCATTCCCAATCAATATTCTCTTGGTTACAAATTCAATAGAATATTTTTTTTTTGACCACACATTAGATGTGAAAGTGCACTTGGGGATACTCCAATGTGGGGACTTTACTTAAATAAATTCCTATGGGGCAATTATCAGTATGATGGTTCCCTACCCCAAGGTAGCATAAACACAATTTTTTTGCCAATAAAAATTTATGAATGTGTTCAAGACCAATATGGACCCTACTCCAAAAATTTCAAATTTTTTGCGAAGATGTTCACTACCCCCTTAGAAACAAACATGCCAAATAAGGGCTAAAAAATGAAAATGTGACCAAGACCCCAAAAATAGCTTATGTCGTATGCTATGATGGTTATATAAATATGAAATCGGGTTGTACCCTTATCCGTGAATTATGATCGATATCATGACCTGCAAAAGCGATTTAAGGTATCTTGAATGTTTGGGAAGAATTTCTGGAAGAATATGAATCCTTTTCTTACTAAGAGTCCCATTCGCTCTACTATTTTCCACCCTTTATATATGGTATTTGTACTCCAAAAAAAAATTAGCTTTTTTAGCTCTCATTGGACGAATTATTGTCACGTGAAAGAAGTAGGTCCACGCTACGCTAGCCCCATTAGGCTTTTTCGGTAATTTTTGTTTGTTTAAATGTGTTCGCATCTTCCAGCTGAACCACGATGTCGGCCCATTCGCTCTACTATTTTCCACCCTTTATATATTGTATTTTACTGATTGTACTCCAAAAAAATTTAGCTTTTTTAGCTCTCATTGGACGAATTATTGTCACATGAAAGAAGTAGGTCCACGCTACGCTAGCCCCATTAGGCTTTTTCGGTAATTTTTGTTTGTTTAAATGTGTTCGCATTTTCCAGCTGAACCACGATGTCGGCCCTGGAGTTAAAAGGTAGATGTCAGTTAACATCATATTTCGCACTTATTTCATTTTTATGGTGAACAATTGTATATAGTGAAAAATTATTCATTATTTTTTTCACAAAAAATCCACTGAATTCAATATAATAATACAAATTGAAAAAAAGAAGAATTGACAAAAGAAGAATAACCAATTGAAAAAATCTTTAACTTGTTCGCTGATTTTTTTTACAGCAAATGTTTAAAAATCCTTACAAAGTTTGTCAAGAGAATGTACTGTTATTTTAAAATTCGATTCCATTCGATTCGATTCGATTTTTTCCCGACTTGAGAATTTTTGCAATGAGATCTATTTTTTTTGTGATTTTTTAGCGATTTTGAAAAAGTAAACATCTTTTAACTTTGGTGTGACAGCGTCAAATTATTTTGATATCATCTATTCCGTTTCGCCACCACATAATTCGGCACTCTATGTAACCCGACATCAATTTCAGTTCTCCAGAAATCAAGTCAAATAAATTGGTATTAATATTCGAATTCAAAAATAAAATATAAAAAACACTACAAATGTACATTAGAGAAAAGTAAGTCAAAGTGGAAAAAAATAATGCAAAATAAAACATTACTATTGTACATATCAAAAGTCAAAATGAAAATGTTAATATATCACATTTTTACGCGATTTTTTTTTTTTTGATGTTATCCTTTTCTGACAGGAGACAATTCCGAATTTGCGTGAATCGCTAAAATCAGTCTAGCGGATCTTAAGTTATAAGCTTAGTAACTAACACAACTTTCTTTTATAGATATAGATTGTAATCATTTTCAAGTCTGATTATCTAAATATTTTTATATGGTCTGTTCCAGAACTGCAAGAAAGAAAATTTTTTACTAAAATTAACGATTCCATTTATGATATCGTCATAAATTCCAAACCAGGTATATTCTTGCAGTTTCTGGAAGAGAGCGATTGCCTAGTTCATCACCAAATTTAAATAATAATACAGTCCTCTAAAAATATACATTTAAGCCGCGCTGGAGAATTTGCAAAATACTTTCTTCATACTATTGAGAGCGGGTGAGGCGCTGGGAAATCTAAAGATGAGAATACGTAAAACCCTTTTTTTGACAGGCTTAAGTCATCGGCCGGCTTCTTTGTTAACGAACAAAGGAGCGTAGGATGAACAAGTATAAATGATGGGCCGGAATTGAACTAAGAGTGGAAATACATAAAGTGCATATTTGGCTGACTTAAGTAATCGGCTGGCTTCAAGTCACCTTAAGAATCCTTTGTTATTTTAGGAAGAAGTCAGTCGATGAGAATAGTGAGAACACGTAAAACGCTTAAGTCATCGGCTGTCTTCTTCGGAAAAGAACAAGGGAGCATAGGACCAAAATCGAACTAAATCAACCTAAAACTCTTTTGTTCCACTACGAAAAAGCCAGCCGATGACTTAAGCCAGTCAAAAAATGTTTTATATACTCTCACCCTAAACCAGTAAAAAAGCTCTATATGTACTTGCACCTTAATACGCTTTTTGTCTGGGTTAAATCATCGGCTGGTTTCTTCGTAAGAGAGCAAAAGAGCGTGGGTGAACAAGATACAACTTTTGACTGAAATTGAACTAAATCAACCTATGGCTTAGGCCAGTACAAAACCTATTTTTGTACCAGCACCTTTAAGCTAGTAACCTTAAAGGTGGGAATACATAAAGCGCTTATCTGGCTGGCTTCTTCGGAAATGAACAAAGGAACCTAGGGCCAAAATCGAACTAAGTCAACCTAAAACTCCTTTGTTCATCTACGAAGAAGCCAGCCGATGACTTAAG